GAAAACCGGTACAACCGGTTGATATATATATAAATATAATGTTACCCGGACCCACGTCCGGTAAAAAAGATAAAAGAATTTAGTACACGGCACGCAGGTCGGAAGATGAAACAAAATAAGCAAAAATACTACTGCTGCTGCTGCGGAGGTTGTTGAGGTTGTGGCTGATCAAGAGACGGCTGGCCCTCGCCGGCTGGAGGAGCTTCATTAGCTTGGCCTTGGATTTAAACACCCTCAACCGGCACTTCTTCTTCCTGCTCCATCTCAGCCAGCGCCCACTCTTCAAAGGGTGTCGGCTTGTCCAGCCCGAGAATTTGAGCGTCGTATACTTCACTTGCGTACCTATACCGCAGGTCGAAGCACGCGTACTCTGCTTCCGGGTGGAGCATAGCCCACGCTATCTTCATCCGGGCTTCACAGTCCCGTTCATTCTCATTGATCAGGCGGGTCTGCTCAGCCGCCATCTTGCCCTTGAATACCTTTTGAGCTTCAGCAAGCTCACCCTTCACTCTAGCAACCTCCGCCTTGAGCCCATCATTCTCCTTCTGAGCATCCGTCAATTTCTGGACGTCTGCCTGAAGGGACTTGACTTTCTGCTCGAACTGAGCTGCCTTCTTGTTAGCAGACTCAGAAGCAGTCGTAGTTTTCCGGAGAAGTTCCTCCTGTTTCATCTTCCGGGCTTTAGTTTGAATCTCATACATAAGTGAATTATACTGATGGACGTCTACTAAGTCGGTTGGCCTTCTTTGGGCATCCCTTACCTTCTCCTGCTTTCTGCGGAGAGGGCCCTGGAGACCGTCCACCTACAACATCACCTGCAACGCAGCCGGCAAAAGAAAGGTTAGAAAGCATCCGTCAAAATGAAATTTTGCATAAAAGTAACCCAGCCGGTACATACCTCAGCAAGAAGTGAGTTTATTTGGTCAATGTTGACCTGCCCAACACCCGGGAACGCTTCCCTTTCAGAACGGGTAAGGGTCCGGACCATTCTCTTGGCATAATTTTGTAAATCTTGCCAACGAGAAGTTTCTGCATCAACAGATTGACCGGTTAAGTATCTGGCATAAGCACCGCCTACATTTTGCCGGTTGGCTGCAGAATCGCCCGACTGAGAAGCTTGGGACTTAACTCTGACAGGTCCAAGCGGCCAGGGGTGTTCAAAGGGGGAAGCCATACCTTGAGCTTGTGGCTGAGGGGTTGAGCCACCCCCAGCCGCATTTGAGCCGGATGCTACAGCAAGCACCCGGCCAAAAGGAGCCTCCGGCTCCTCAGTTTCAGTTTCTCCCGTCTGGGAGCAAGGGATGAAGCCTCGAAGGCTCTTTCCACCAGAGGTCGACCGCTCGTGTTAAGCAGGCAGCCTGGCACTTGAGACGGGAGGAGGAAGAGGAACAGTTCTTTGGCGGGTAGAGGCCGGCTGAAAGAGTTCCTCGCCGGGTCTCTTTGTCATCTACCGGATGGAGCGAGGAACCGTCCTGCTCCCCGACTGCAAAGAAAAAGTTGAAAGCATCAGCATAAGTTAATATGCATCCGGTGTAAAGAGTATGAGCTACAACTCATACACCCGGTATCAAGTGTATGAGCTACAACTCATACATCCGGTTTTTAGAGTATAAGTTGCGACTCATACATCCGGTAAAAACTAGAGAGGCATCCGTTACTTAACCCTTCATTCCGGGCCGCAACTTGAGCTCGCTTCTTCTCAAGCTGCTCTTTGCGGATCTCAGCCGCTGATTTTGCCGGGGTCATATCCGGTGAAACCATTTCTTTCCCTTTCTCTGAAAAATAAAAGAAAACAATTAGATATTTTCCAAGCACAATACAGGCAGATAGAAAGGCTGGTTAACTTGGACGTACGTTTTGAGAACATAGTACTCAGACCGCAGGCGGAAAGGAACGCCTCGTCTCTCAACCAGTCCGGATGCGGGACCCAGAATTTGGGGACAATGATGTGTGTCCCGTCATCCAGGGGCATGGTTGTCTTTTTAAAGAGCCTCGGCTCCATAATTTGATCCCAGACCTCTCCTGGTATCTTTGGAAGGGCGCATTTTTTGCCAATGAGCAACGGCTGCGTGTTGTAGGTACGCAGCCTCCGGTTCAGTTGGAGAGATGGTGATGACACCATGTAAAACTTACTCTTCCAACTTGACCACTTGGACGGCTTGTCCAGGGTCATCATGAACTTCGGATGCGTGGTTAGGGTATACCACCCATTCCAGCCGCCTAGGGCACGGCTTAAATAGTGCATGTGCGCGAACGCCTCCCATCTTGGCGTCACGTCCTGCATCTCGCAGGCGGCGATAAAGACCAGAATGTTCACCCAAGAGTTGGGTGTGAGTTGCCAAATGCCCAAGTCATACCCCCTTAGTATGGCCTTGATCGTTCGGTGCAGTGGGAACCGGAGACCTGCTTTGAAGGCCGCCTCGTAGCAGCCAAAGTAATTGTCTGCATGGTCCCGGTTGTCGTCCCAAACAACCGTTGCATCAGCCGGTGGCACCACTAAGTCCCAGCCGTCCCCTACCGGCTTCTTCGCCAAAAATGCTGGCAGTGTGGCGTTAAGGGTCACAATGTCCTGGGCGCTCATTGACGCCTCGGTAGGATTGTTCATGCCCGGCCATTTGTAGGCGTCCTTATCTGCCTCAGGGGCATCCGGCTCCCCGGATGTTGTGGCAGAAGAAGAGGAGACGGATCTTTGGGCAGTCTCCTCTCCGCCAGAGTCAGACCCCTCGAGAATTCTATCGCTGGGGGTATTGGGGACCCCCGGTTGGTCGTATGGGACATCATCAACCGGAGGGTCGGCCGAGTCCTCGGACTGGTAGTCAGGATCAACCGCCGTCCATCGAGTACGGGCCATTCTGTCCTGCACATGAGCAGAGATGGTCGGATTTTTATCACAAGAGTGGACCAAACACTCCCAGGCGGCATCCCCAGTCCTAGACTCAGCCGTACTTGGTGACCGGTTGACATCAGTCCTAGGGTGTGCCATGTGTGTGTTGGGTGAGTCCATTTCTAACTACCTATTCAGCCGGAAAATTGATAAAGAATTGTAAGAAGTAAAGGCGGTACCTTAGTACTGAAAGCTGGAAGTTGAAGTTGATTGGTACTAGTGCAGACGGTCACAATCAATATCTGCAAAAATAAAACAACCGGAAAATTAGAAACTTACCCAAAAACACCCCATCCGGTATTAGTCAACGTTTTTGGTCAAACTGACCCAAAAACACCCCATTCGGTATTAGTCAACGTTTTTGGTCAAACTTACTCAAAAACACCCCATCCGGTATTAGTCAACGTTTTTGTTCAAACTTACCCAAAAACACCCCATCCAGTATTGGTCAACGTTTTTGGTCAAACTTACCCAAAAACACCCCATCCGGTATTGGTCAACGTTTTTGGTCAAACTTACCCAAAAACACCCCATCCGGTATTAGTCAAAGCTTTTGGTCAAAATGACTCAAAAGCACCCCAGACGGTTAATACCGGATGGGGGTTTATTGAAAGCTTTTGGAAAAAAAAAATCAAAGTTTACCCAAAAGCACCCAAGACGGTGAATACCGGATGGGGGTCTATTGAAAGCTTTTGGGAAAAAATCAAAGTTTACCCAAAAGCACCCCAGACAGTGAATACCGGATGGGGGTCTATTGAAAGCTTTTGGGAAAAAATCAAAGTTTACCCAAGAGCACCCCAGACGGTTAAGACCGGATGGGGGCTTAATGAAAGCTCTTGGGAAAGATCCTGCATCTACCCAAATGCCCCCCAGACGGTTAAAACCGGTTGGGGGTACATAGAGGAGCCTTGGAAAAAGTCGTTCAAAGACCCCCCAGGCGGTCATAACCGGATGGGGGTCCCTTGAAAGCTTTTGAAAACAATCAAAAACTACTCAACAGCAGCCCATGAGGTTTACACCGGATGGGGGTCTATCAAGAGCTTAGAGGAAATTTTCCAAGATTCCGGGTGATCAAAAAGTATATATATCCGGCTGGTCACCCCATACGGTATTACACCGGATGGGGTGATCCAAGTAAAGCTATCTAAAATCCGGATGGGTAGGCAATGAAATCAAGGAAAGGTTTCAAAATTACCTCAGCCGGGGATGAGCAGACGTCTTCAAAGTCAAGCCGGATGTGAAGAAAGAGGATGATGGTTGTGTTTAACAGCAGCCGGGGTCAGAGCTCTTCTTTCAAGTTTTGGAAGTTTGTAAATGTTGCAAATGATCAGGGGAGGTTTCTTTTATAGAAGGGGAGACGAACCGTCACCTCCCCTTGTTCAAATTCAAAAAATTGGAGGGAAGAGACGAATCGTCGCCTCCCTCTGTTCAAAAAAAAAAAAAAGGAGGGAAGGAGACCAACCATCCCCTTCCCAGATGGTGACAACCGTCACCTAGGGTTACGTGGCATGCCATGTCACAGATGCCACGTGGCAAGCCACGTGTCGTCTGTGAGGGGCAAATGATTAGGGTAAAAATTACCTATGCCATGTGGCCCAATTAGAGGCTGACACGTGTCAGCCCCAGAAAGGGCCAATGGGAGCCAATCCCAGGCTGACACGTGGCAGGCCCTTATTTGGCAGGGACGCTGTTCCCCCTGCCCTATAGATAGAGGAAAATACCTCATTTATGGGGCATCCAAAAAATTAAACACAAAAACACAAAAAGCAAACAACATTTATTCTCTCTGAATCAGAGGGAAACCATTTACTTTTCTGCACTATTCACTTCGAACGCATTCTAATTAGATCGTCGGAGGCGGAACTCCACCCAATCGGAGTTCCGTTATTTTGCAGGTACAGCCGGTCAGCAAGCTCAGTCTCGGAATTATAACTCTCCCGCAGGACACATAAAAAACCCCAAAACAGATTTCATACTTCTCTAACATAAGATTCCATACCAATATATTCCAACTTAATTAACCTAACACCCCATAAACAAACACTACATTTTTTCTATTCCTATTTTTTAATTCTTGTCCCACCCTTTTTATCCCCCTAAACAAACATCCTAGATCTATATTTGAAGTTGCTTGTCACTCCCTAATTTCAGCAAGAACTTGTTCCAAAGAATTGGAAAACCTCCTAAAGCAAGAAAAGCAATGGATTCTCTGTCTTCTGTATCTCCTTCAATCATGCTACCACCTCCACCCCATACTCTCAAACTTCCTCTCCACTTTCCCTTTCCTCCTCGGATTCACAACCGCCCCTTTCTCTCTCCTCCTTTGTCTTCCGATTCCTCGCTTTCGCAGCGGCGGAGGCGGCGCAATGTTGGGGTGTTGCTATCTAAATCTTCCGACAACTCCGATAGTGAAGCCGGATTCAACGGTGATGTCAAACGCGGTAGTGACGATGATAATGATGATGTTGAGGTTGATAAAGCTTTGCAGTTGGACGGAACTATCCCCGGAACTTCAGATGAGTTTGTCAAGCAGGTTTCGTCTCGTGCTTACGATATTCGCCGCCATCTTCACCAATCACTCGATTCCAGCAGCTATGACGGTACCTATTTTTTTTGGTTCAATTTAATTTTGAGTTTTTTTGGTTTAATTTAGGTTTTAGTAGGTTTTGATTTGATTTTGGTTATATTTATAATTATGATTATTGGAGTTGAAAATTATTAAGATGTTTGTTAGTATTAGTATATGATCATCTTTGAAACCTCGTGTGAAAATTCTCATCATGATTTGCCAGAGAAGAGCAATAAGTGAATAACAAACTTATAAGCTCAAAGAGCCACTCCCATTGCTAATTGAATTGAGAATAGAGCTCTGGAGTAAAGTGGATAATTTGAAATTATAACATTCTTGTAAGCTCGAAAAGCTACTCCTGTTACTAATTGATGTGAGAAAAGAGCTCCGGACTAAAGCGGATAATTTTAGATAATAACCTATTTATAAGCTCGAGGAGCTATTCCTATTACTAATTGATTTGAGAAAAGAGCTTCGGACTAAAGTAGATGATTCACGATAATAACTTGCTTATAAGCTCGAGGAGCTAGCTATTCCTATTACTTACTGATTTGACAAAAGAGCTTCAGACTAAAGTAGATAATTCAAAATAATAACTTGCTTATAAGCTCGAGGAGCTATTCCTATTACTAATTGATTTGAGAAAAGAGCTTTGGACTAAAGTAGATAATTCAAGATGATAACTTGCTTATGAGCTCGAGGAGCCACCTCCGTTACTAATTTGGTTTTGAGAAAAGACCTCTTGACTAGAGTGGATAATGCTACTCTTTCTTGATGGGTGCAGCTGAGGCCCATTTGAAAAGGTCGATAACTGTACATGTGAGTTGTTGAATATGGTTTGTAGAACTAGTAGCTGTTGGGGGACTTGGGTATTTCTTTGAATTTAGGATTTGTTTTTCATCTGGTTTACTAGCATTTGATCAGGGAATTGTGAGTAGCTATGAATAGGGCTCATTTGCTGATCTTCGGAATTAAGATAAGAATATGGTAATGGTAATGGTATGTATGGTGGTGTTTAGGTCTTTTATTATGATATTTTGCATATTGCAAACTTTTGAAGTTGGGCTGAATTGTTGCCTTTGTTGGTTATCATGAGTTTGATGTAAAAGATGGGGATCGAAGTTTTATGAGTTTGGAATAATTTGCAACAGTAAGATGTGTTATGTGATAAGATCTCTTTTTTCAAAAGGCACAAATTGTCCTTGATCCTAAGATTTGAGCTGTTAGCCTGTTAGGTGGAATTATATTCATCATGGACTTTAGGCTCAAAGGTTTAGAAGAAGCTGAGAATGTTTAAAATCAAATTACTACATATTTTCTAATGAGAAAGGCATAATTTTCACTGCCATTAAATTGACAAATTAAAGGAGTGAATCTTTATTGAAACAAACTAGTAGAAAAATCAAAGGGAGGTAATGAGGTATATTGCCAATGTTGGTCATTGGTCACTTGAGATTCACTATTATGCAGAGTTTAGTTCCTCCAAGGGGTGTCTGAGTCATTGTTTTGTAAGTAAAAATAGTTTTTTCAAGGATTACCTAGACACTTGGAAATCGATAACATTCTTTAAAAAAATTTAGTTTGAGCAGGACTGTTGGACGACACATACCTTTGTCTGGTAGCTTGAGTCCACTCAATAAAGGGTTATACTTTGTTCTCTTTATCCTTGCTTCAGTCTAACCGTGTGTCTCAAAAGGACATCTAGTGAGAAGAAAAGCGAGTTGAGGGGAAGAACCTAATCCCTTCTGCATATCACACTCTGTATGGGTTCTGGATCTTTGCATTACCCTTGTGATTTTGTGCCATAATTTTTAAATTATCACCCAAACTTGGGGATGAAATTCCTTCTCTCTTTTACATCCATGATCCTTTCATTTTTGACTCAGAACTCCTTCAATCGGAGGATAAGGTGATGTTCTGCAACCTAGAAAGGCTACAATCTCTTTTCTTATCTTCAGGTCCCAATGCGAGCATTTTTTACATTCATTTAATATCTTGACGGTTATAATTCATTGACATGGCTTGCTGGTACTTGTTGTAGAGGGGTTGTTGAAAATTCTGAATGGTATTACTTTGGATTCTCTAAACAAGTTTAAATCTTTTTAAAGGGAGTACTCTGAAAAACATGTACCAATGAAGCGACAGTGATGGTATAACATTAAAAGAATGGCTAGTGGATATGGAGTTGGTATGGACTTGATGTTTGAAAAAATACTAAGGTCAAGTGGTTGTATTTGGGCAATTGGGCTACTATAAAGGCTTCGGTTTGTTGCAAGAGTGAGTCAACTCTTTTTGCAAGGGTGAGTCAATTAATGCTTGCTTATGAGAAAGACAAGAAGACCGCGTGGGTTTGGCCTTTGTAGCTACTTGGTAGGAAGGTGCATGTAGCATATGACATCTAATTGCATGAAGACATTTGCAATAAGTTTATTCTAAGGATTCTTGGATTGAGAACCCACAAGTTTGTTAAACACACTGACCAAGGAACCTAAGAAGACAATTCCTAATGTGATAAGATATTATTCCCTTTGTCTCACATGAATGCGCCCAAGTTATATCTATTATATACGAGCAAAGGTGTATTATGTGTTATGTTGGTAAATTTGTTGAATATTAAAGGCAAATTAGTAAATTAGTTCCTCCAAGGGGTGCCTAAGGCACTATATTTGACAAATTATGTAATCTCCTTAATTAAATTGATCAGCTGTATTAGCTTTGATTGGCTGAACATTCCCAACTAAAAGCTAATCAAAGTGAAATAAATCGCTCATCAGTTTCATTATATTTTCTTTCTACCTAATGAGCTCTATTTATAATATTCCTCTAACTCACTTATCTTCCTCCTCAAAATACAAGTCATACTGTACTACCTATAATAGTATAATTCCTCTCCCCATAAATCTAATGCATTACATGATGTCTTTCAGTTAAACATTTCCATACTTTTAAAATGCAAGTTGTTGATGAACCCTGCGAAGTTGCATAGGAAATGCTGTTCAATGCTCACTTAATAAAATATGAAGAAATACGATTTATTTACCTTTATTCTGAACAAATCTGAGCTCAAATTAAATTTTTGTAACAGTGCTGATAACATATACCTAATGTATTTAAGATAATAACTAAACATATTCCTATTACCAATCCAAAACAACTAACAAGCTTAATTAATAACATAAGAAGTCTAGGAACATAAGCTGCACTATTCTACGAGGCTACGAGTAGGTCTTTATTTCCCAACATAACATGTATGTGTGCCTATTATAAAATAAGAATTGAGCCATACAGGATATTAGAACACTGACAAGAAGGCAACAGAGGTCAACTGCCAACTAATTCTGTAAGCATGCTCAGTCAATGAAAGTGTTTTCTGGAATTTGGATGTTTATATATATGCTGCTTTTCATAATGCAAGTGATTTCAGTGGGATTCAGTAATATAGCTATAGCAATATCATACATTGCTTTTCTGTTGCTTGAAATAATGTGTTCATTCTTTCTTCTTTAGTGCTGGATGACAATCCATGGAGGGAAACTACAAAACCTGTGTATGTCCTAACGCAGAAGGAAAACCAACTATGCACAATGAAAACTCGAAGGAACCGCAGGTTAGTGACTCCTTCCCTTTTACCTCCAAAGCAGGTTAGCTGTTTCCATGATAACGTTTAGATTTCCTGTTACAGTGAAGTTGAAAGGGAGCTTGGGTTATTGTTTTCAAAGGGGCACAAATTGAGCTCCGAATTTGGAAGTCAGACCAAGCAGTCAAGAAGTGGCAAGAAGTTTCAAATGGTCGTGGAGGACGTAAGGGAGGGAATACTTGTAAGACTCTTTCCTACCATCTTAAGTCTTGTTCTGTGTGCTATACTTGGGGTTAGGTTGGGTGTATTGTGCTGCTGAATCCTCATTATATTAAGACTATGGACTGTTTCTGTTATGTCTTGCAAAGATATATACCTCCCTATGTACTAAGGCCTTATTTAGTTAAACTGTTTGGTACACATAATTAAGCAGTTGTCTTTTTCTCAATTCATTAAGTATGCATCCAACTTATTGGAAAGTGCCTCCAAAAATGTTGGACTATGCATGAAAGTAGATCTATGTTGGATATGATACTCCAACAACTTAAGGAGACAAAAATTTGATACATGCATCATGGACTCTCTGCATAGGTAAATTGTGACTGGGAAGCTTACTACTCCGTACTAGTCTCCAATGTCCCTTTTTGTTCTCTTTGTAATCTACTTGGAATTTTGTTATTTCTAATATTAGCAGTTGTGTCACTACAGATATTTGAAGACCAAAATGAAGCGGTAAGATACTGTGACCTAATGCAAGGTGGGGGTCAAGGTTGTGAAGGTGTCGCTGAGATAGAAGCATCGTCTGTAAGAAACTAAACCCTGTCTTTCCAATTGTACTTATTCTACTTAATCATCCGATTTCAAAACCTGAAGTTAATATATTTTTTGTACAGGTTTTTGACCTTTGCCGAAAATCAAGAGCTCTGGCTGTTCTATTCCGCAGAGGCAGGACTCCACCTCAACCTGAAAGCCTCCAACTTAACTTGAGAGCTCGGAAGCGGTCCCTTGAAGACTAACATGGTTCATCTCTGCAGCATTGTATAGAAAGACAGAGTTGAAAATTGAACACGTATACACAGGTTTCACATCTGAATCCTACAGAGCAATATAACATAATGTAGTACAAGTTATACAGTGATTATAATGTATATAGAATACAGAACTAAAAGTCATACTTCGTATATCAATGTAATTATTTGATGCTATCTTCATCGTCAATTTCGCCATTGAATCTCTTCCCCCTATTGGTGTCTAATATGCTTTGAAGAGTGGCTGCACCATCAAAGTTGACTTTTTCTACCGAGAGAGATCCGTAGTAGCACATTCATTCAATTGAGACCAATCTAACAAGATTATCACATGAATATATTTTTTTTAAAGAAAATTTCGTTAAAACAAACTGTAGTACAACACGTAATAAAATACAAGTAGTTGCAAACTTGCAATAAAATAAGAACTCAAGCGGGATGCGTCACTGAAAGCACTGTTTGGACGGAGCAAGCTAAACTGTCATTGTCAATTGTTTTGCAACAAATTCACTCATAATTTTATTCAACAAAATTGGCCAAGATTCTAAGAATGTACCACTCGCAGATAAACATGATTTCATCGTCCTTTTTCCAATCAAGTTGAAAGTTGAAAGTACGGATTTATAATCATAAATATATTATGAATCATGTTGTCATTAATTTTAATCACACACGCTTAACGTTGTAATTTACTGGTAGTATTGTTATACAATTCAAATATCCTATTTATCTTGTTTACTGTAATATCAATGAATTTATATGGGTTTAAGAGAGATAGGTTCTTAAGATTATTATAAAGGATAACGAAGATCACTCAACTAAATATGTAATTAAATAAGGTCTAATAAATACCAATAAGGCCTTGGCCTAAGACTGAGAGTGTTTGTAGAATAGGTCACAGATTTAAATCCTCCCATGTATTATATAATTATATTAAAAATATATAAAAATTCTTATGAGCAATAAAATACAACAGTGGATAATATAAGCTATCATTTATACCTAGTCTTAGAACACAAACTATTTATGTCACACGTCTCTTACTCTTTTACTCCGTACTCCTTAATAGAAATAAAACAATCTGAAAATTAGGATAAGAATTTGACGCATAGGACAAAAGGAGTAATAGACCAAAAAAATACACCATGTCTAATTCACTTTACAATTTCAAGAAGATTTCATCCCAAAAGCACATGACGATAATTGGAGTATCCACTTTGTGAAAATATTCAAGCCATCTTTTCTTTTATTGACACTCACATGTGTTGTTTAAAAAACTACACATAGTATTTCAATACTAACCCAACACCATAAATCACTAGATCAAATTCTACCCCTTAACTTATCAAATACAGTATATGAATAAATTTTTTTCACCAAATGAAAAAGGGAGCCTAGCCGCCTAGGTATCAAGTGACCCGACACTACAAGAAATACAATGAAAATCCACAAATTAGGATCTTATTTTCCTAAAATTGTAATCATTTCCCTACATTAATGACCTTTTAATCTAACTAAAAATGGAGTTGAATGCACTCGCCACTAAACTAAAAGTTGGCCAATTAAAAAAAAAAAAAAGAAAGAAAGGAAAATAATTTCATTTAAGAACCAAAATAGGAACGAATCAAATCTAATCCAGTAACTTTTCTGTTTGACAAATTATTTATGAAATAAAAAAACAAAATACTCGGTATCATAAATAATTGAATAAAGATAAACAATATACTTGTACTCCGTATAAAATTAAAAAAAGGCAAAAAAAAAAAAAACAAAAAAAACAAAAACAAAAACAACAAACAGAATAACGGATACACACATTTTCCACTTCCCCCCTTTCTCCCTCTCTTCCTTGAAATCTCTTCTTCCAAATTTCCAGATTCATTTCTAACCGTCCGATTAACCGGAGAATGAGCGACGCCGGTGAAATTTCGTCAGAATCACCGTCAATGGACGGAGCACCGCCGAGCAAAGTAGTGGAGAAGCAAAAGGATAAGGATAAAGCTAGGGTAAGCAAAACGTCAGCAATTCTATGGCATGCTCATCAAAACGACGCCGTTGCGGTCCGGAAGCTTCTAGAAGAAGATCCTACCCTTGTTAATGCTAGGGATTACGATAATCGAACTCCTCTTCATGTTGCTTCGCTTCATGGTTGGATCGATGTTGCTAAGTGTTTGATTGATTTTGGCGCTGATGTCAACGCTCAAGATCGCTGGAGGAACACCGTATTATTCGATCTCTATTATTTAATATTTTTTTTTTGTTGCGAAAATTCAGTGTTTTTGATTTGGTAATCTATGCTTGATTTGGTAATTATTTTGGAATTATTGAGGTTGAAATTTGGTGTTCTTGAATGTTTAGTATGATTTTGAAATTTTGGTAAATGTATGAATTTAGGTATTTTGTTTGTGATTTTTGGAATTCGGTGAAGTTTCTTGATCGTATCAGTAGAATATTAATTTTGGAATTTTAGTTGTCTTTTTTGGAATGTTAGAAGAACAAAGATAATTTATGCCAGATTCTGTTTCTACTTATGTGATTTCAATAAGATTTGAGGATTGCGGTTGCTTTTAGAATAAATGCAAAATTATGAGATATGATTATTGTTGGATTATTGATGAATTTGAGATAAGGTTCTTTTGTTAATGTCAACTTCGATTGATGAGATGACTACTAATGTCAATGCTTTTTAGAAAATATTTTGTGTCAAATTTATTTTAAGTGAAGAAAATTTATAAATACTGAAAGCTGATTTGCCACTCATGAATTCTCTTTTTTGGTAAACATGAATTCTCTCTCAACATTCTTTTTCTTCCTCTCTTAATTGTTGCTCAGCGATTTATTGATCAATTTGTCACTAAACTCAAAGTTCAAAACTATTAGAAGAAATGAAAAGAGCTAATTTTCTCTTTGAAGGCTCTCTCTTTCCTCCCTTTCCTTATTTATCTTCTCGAGTCATGCAGAAATGAAGCCAGGGGTAGGGATTCGTAGAAATATCATTTTCCTCTCATAATAATCACTAACTGATTTGGTTGATTTATTCAATCACTTTTTTTTGTTTTTTATTATTATTATTATTATTTTTTTTTAATTATTTTCAGATTTCAGTGATTCTAGTGATTTTAATTTTTGATCAAGTTTCACCTTTAGATGTTGAACTAATTGATTTTAATTTGCAGGCCTAAATTTAACCTTTTTCTCTGAGGTTTTAATGTTACGTTATGTTATGAAATGCTATCTTTCACGATGTGCACTTTGACCTACTTCAAGAACATTTTAACTAGGCAACATTGTTGATTCCGTTTGTGATTGTTGCTGTACGGTTAAAATAGCTTCTTCAAAATTGTTTGGTTAAAGCTGTAACAAGTTTGCCCCTTCCCCCTTAGTTGCTTCTGGCGCTTCTTTCAAAATTGTTTGGTTAAAGCTGTAAAAAGTTTGCTCCTTCCCACCTTAAGCTTCTTTAAAGTTTGGTACTGGCATTGGTTTATATCTGTAATGATATGGTGTAGTATGGTACAGGGAACGATGAAATTTGAGCCATTGAATTGGATTCTGAAGGGTAAAAGTCTTGACGCCTAGACTAAAGCGTCACTTTTATTACATGGCATATTGTGATCTGGATGCTGCTGTTTCCTTTGTTGTTTTTCTTTTTTAATTATTATTTCAAGAAGAAACTAGCTGGATTGCATTTTAAAATAGATTCTTGTTTCATGACAGCCTCTAGCTGATGCCGAAGGTGCAAAAAAACATGGAATGCTTGAGCTTTTGAAAACATATGGCGGTTTGTCTTATGTAAGTTTAATTACGGCACATTTGTAGGTCCTCTTTCTGAATTTGGCTTTATAATTGTAGCTACGCCGTGGTGTACGTGCTCTTCAGCTGGAAATATATTTCAATCAACTTGTGCACCTTATCCTCTGAATTGTAACATGCCTTTTTGGTTCTTCCCTATCCATTGATATGGTTAAAGTATTTCTGTTTGTGAATTTCTTTTCTCAGAAAAGTCATTAGCCCCGTAGTTAGACTCTGTAATAATATGAACTTATGAACTTGTTTTCTTTGAAAGGTCATTAGCTCACAATTAGAACTTTCTTTAAAAAATGAACTATAAAACTGTATGAAATGAAGCTACCTTGAATATGGAAATCCGTAAGAGTGGATTATGTGGTTCACAAGCGTCATTTCAATTATTTTTAAGTTCGCTTTGGACTCTTTCACAAACGCAATCTGATATGTCTATCCTAAAATAGCGTGAAGTACCAAACACAGATAATATTGTTTGGAAGTTAAATTTTCTCATTTATGTGGATGTTATATATGTACTGGTCGGTAATCACTGTTGCCTATGCATTGTAGACTATTGAGAAGAAAACTCCTTTGTTTAAAATGTCAACAGTGTCTGTTATTGGAATCTATATTTTTCACCAACATTATTGCTTTTCTTGTGTCTATTTTATAGAAATTGTGATAATATTTTGTGACTCAAATTTGTTACTCGTTGTTTCTTCTCATGACTGCATTCATGGACAGAAGCATGTATGTCTATCGTTTTAGCATTTCAGTGTTACTAATTTCAGCCTCTGCTCTGCTTTGTTTGGATTCATGTCATAATAGTTAGTAATTTCCATGATCTCTGAGTGATTTCAATTTTCAGGGACAAAATGGGAGCCATTTTGAACCAAAAGCTGTGCCCCCACCCCAACCAAACAAGTGTGACTGGGAGATTGACCCTTCTGAGCTGGATTTTTCGCACTCAGCAATAATTGGAAAGGTGTGACTCTATCTTTGCATTAGTGATAAGTAGCTTCAGACCACTTGTAATAATGTCTAGTTTATGATTTAAAAAGGTTAGATTTTTGACAGCTTATTTCTAATTCTATTCTTGCTTTTCCTGTTTATCTTCTGATTGAATTTATTATTACCCATTCTGATACTCAATGAACAAAAAAAATTGAAGATGAAATTTAGATTTAAAGAATTGACCACTTCACAGCTCCTAATATACGTGTGGTGAAGTTTATGGAGTAATGGTGCCTTTATTATCTTTGCCCAACTTCCTGGTAGCTTTTCTTGGAATTAAGTGAAAGAATTAGAGGTAATAGACTAATAGGTATCAATTAGGTACTAAAATAATAGGGTGGTGGTGATCATCAATTCATGGCTTGGTGGAGAGGTGGGGGATTTGTGTGTGTGTGTGTGGGGGGGGGGGGAACCTATCCTTCCACACGCCAGAAAATAATTCTGAAAAAATAAGGAGAAAAGGAGTGGATACTCTTGTGAAGCAAATATAAAGATAGAAATCATCTGAACCTTAGGAACATTGTCAACTTGATGGTAATTCATTTGTACCAATCTTAGGCTCTTCTTGGTTATGTTATTATTTTTTCAAGTCAATGCTGCATATGCATCAAGGCGGTTATTTTCTAGTAGTTTCTTTGTTTTGTTTGCCTTTGATAATATTTGACTCCTGCAGGGATCATTTGGTGAGATTTTGAAAGCCTACTGGCGAGGGACTCCAGTTGCAGTTAAGCGCATACTTCCATCTCTTTCAGATGATAGATTAGTCATGTAAGATCAAATTTCAAAGATGGGATCTTTTCAGATGAGCATGTGATGTAGACAACTCTATTATTGTATATTATTATTAAAAATGCATACTGGTTTTTACTTCCATTTTGCTTCTTCAGTCAGGATTTTAGACATGAAGTCATTTTACTGGTGAAGCTTCGTCATCCTAACATTGTACAATTCCTTGGAGCTGTGACTGAGAAAAAGCCTTTGATGTTGATCACGGAATATTTGAGAGGGGTATATTGCTTGCAAATATATATCTATACCTGCTTCATCCTTAATTTATTACTGACTAGCTGGTGATTATGATTATCCATTTATATATCTCTTCTAGGGTGATCTACATCAGTATCTTAAAGAAAAGGGAGCTCTTAGTCCATCAACAGCTATAAATTTTGCATTGGACATTGCAAGGTATCCTAGAGTTTTGTTTGGTGCAATTTATCTTTTTACAAGATCCCACATGAGTACATATTTTTTCTTAAACTATTAGATTCTGTAAGCATTGGTATCTCTAAAGATTCTGAATAGGACCATCAATTAGGGTCAGAGGGAATACTTTTCTTAAACTTCCTCCGTTTTTGTTAGTTGACATGTTTCTTTTATCATGTTTTCCAATGAACAAATTTAACTATTGATATATCTATTCATCAAGTAAAAATTATAAAAAGTTTATATTGATAAAATATACATTGAGGCGATTCAAATAAAGATCCCACATGAATATGTTTTATCATAAATATAAATCACAAAGGCTAGTCAAAGTAAAGTTTATGAATAGTGTCAAAAGTCAAAATGTGTCAACTAAGAAAAACGAATGAAAAAATATTTTGAGACTGGAAGAATAGGTATTATGATAGATTATTCCCAAATAAAAATGATCATTATAATTGGACATGTTTTTTATTATATATGTAGCCATTATACTTTCTTCATTCTAATAAAATTACACCATGAGTGGAGTGCATGGGGATTTAGAAAATGGATAACAAGAATTGAAAGAAAGGCTAAATTGTCCAGTTACCCATGTGATTGCAAGCATTGACTAAAGTAACTAGTATTAACAAGGGTATATAGGAAAGCAACAAGTATTAACAAGAATATATTGGGTGTGTGCAGTGTACATTTGTAAATGGAGGTATACAATTTTCTAAATGATGCAGTATTTGTTAAATTTTCTCAAAAGGTAAATGGTGAAAATGTTTAGAATTGATGAAGTATAACTTATTGATGGTCAAGGATCAACCTTGAAGACTACAAACTTAAATTGTGATGGTCAGTTATGGACAACGATTATTTAAGTCTGAGATCTTTATCTTGGAGACCTTATGCTGTTGATGTTGTGGTTAAATTGTGAAATTGGTTAATCTCACATCTTCATTTTTTTTCTTTTTTCTTTGCAGAGGAATGGCTTATCTTCATAATGAACCTAATGTCATTATCCACCGAGATTTAAAGCCAAGGTTAGTGCAGTTGTGTTTTTCACTCTATTAGGGGTGAGGGTTTGAATTGGTCACACCTATGGAATATTTTTACATTGTGCATGTAGCATTCTTCTGTATGTTCACTTATCTTTAACTCCCGAGAAGATGTGGTTGACACTCATCGTAATGGTTGATAACCTTTATCGCTTTGGCAATGATTTCAGGAATGTTCTCTTAGTCAACTCTAATGCAGACCATTTAAAAGTCGGAGACTTTGGACTGAGCAAGCTCATCAGGGTACAACATGCTCATGATGTATATAAGTTGACTGGGGAGACAGGAAGCTGTGAGTAATTTGTACTTCTGTATTTGATTGGATATTATTTATGCATACTCGTTCTTAATGGTTTGATTGAATAAATACAGACCGTTATATGGCTCCAGAAGTTTTCAAGCATCGGAAATATGACAAAAAGGTTGATGTCTTCTCCTTCGGCATGATATTATATGAGGTGAGTTCATTATATTGATGTTGAATGGAAGTTACAGTATTCAACTTTATTCCTCATAAACTTGTATTTTCTCAGATGATTGAGGGAGAGCCTCCCTTGTCAAGTTATGAACCATATGAGGCAGCAAGATATGTGGCTGAAGGACATAGACCTACCATTAGATCCAAAGGGTTTGTCCCAGATTTGAAAGAGTAAGCTTAACTTAAAGTACAATGTTCCTGAAATCTAACATTTTTCTACCCATTTGTGTATCGCTTGACCTTGGAGCTTTCAGCTTACAAGTTTGTCCTTTTTCTGACTTTTTGTTTGAATTAAATGACCTTTTGGTTGCTGTGGTCAGACCATTTGACTACAATCCCATTTGACTACAATCTTATGTTATTCAAAGAGTGTGTGTGTGTTGGGGGGTGGGGGTGTGGGGGGGGGGGGGGGGTGGATGGTCTCGGAAGTTTACACGTATCTAATATTTGGGCTCTCATTTTGCTATTGCTTACTGTTCATTGATCCAAATGTTTATTGTCTGCTATATCCTTGTGTCCATACATTATGTTCCTGTTGTCTTACTCTGTTTTCATTATTGTTCACTATTTCGTTGGGGCCTCTTTTTTGTTTTTTTTTTACTTTCTGCGTGTGGGGGTTGGGGATATTGAACATGGGCATTCTTACCTAGGGTGGGTGCTCGTGAATCATAATTCTTGTTGGGGAGGAGGAGGGGGGGGGGGGGGGGCGGTGTTGGTGCTGTAGGAAGTTTACATATATTTTGCTGTCCTATGAACAAAATGTGAACTTTCTTCATCTTTCTGTTCCTAAGTTATGGTCCTGTAGTCTTCCCCTTTTTTTCATTGTTGTTTACAATTTTGCTTGGAATTTTATATTTGCCTGTATGTGTGTGGAGATGGGGGTGGGGTTGAACACAGACATTCTTACCTGAGGTGGGTGGTCATGAATCGTGATTGTTATCTGGATTTAGACAGTGAAGCCTAGTTGCTTTCTTACTTGCTTTTAGGAATGCTGTGTATTTCTACAATGAAATTTGCAAATTTTGAGCTCTTCACTTGTGATGCTTACTGTCTTCGGGTGTTCATACAGGTTAACTGAACAGTGTTGGGCTGCTGATATGAACCAGAGGCCTACCTTTCTGGAGATTCTTAAGAGACTTGAGAAAATTAAGGACAATCTTCCAGCAGAGCATCACTGGCACTTTTTTTCTGGATGACAAACTCTGCATTATGACGCTTGTGGTCTGACAACTAGCTAGTTATTCATGCCAACACTGTTGATGTCCAATTCTGGCTTAAGGTATTGCCATTTCTAGATAAATAGTCCCTTGTTCATTTTGAAGAGTGATACACCTGTTTATTAGCTTCAATTATTTTTAATCGAATCATTAGCTATATCAGATTCTAGCCAACACAACCTTATTCAAACATTATAGGTTTCCGACTCCAAATATTCATTCTGAGTCATATATGCCTTGGGTGGGCTTATTTTATGACTGGTCGTGTATACATATTAAAATTACAATATTTTTATGTTCTTTGTATATTGTATTATTTGTGTACTACGCTTTGTAATCTGTCATTTGACATTTTTTTTTTTCCATTTTCATATGCCTTGTAAATGACAAGATTGACAACTGCCTTCTTTGGTAGATTTTAAGAAGATAAAGTTAGCAGCTCTTAAGACTGTGTTGTGCAATTGCATAAGAGTTCTTATTTTTCTTCCTTCGCTTGCTGTTATTGACATTTTGAAAGATGACATTAAGTCTGATGGACAGCTATAAATGTTTCTTTTGTAAACTTAAAAACACCTACTTCACGAGAAGGCCCATTGTATTCCTAAAAGTTTTGATATCTAGTGTTTCACTACCAAAATGATTGAACATGCTACGAAGTAAATTACTCTCGTCCTATTTTGCACTGACTTTGGAGTTTCAATGAAGGGGTTTGATCTTATAGAAGTTCAGAAGGAATCTGTTTTAATTTTCAAGGAGGAAATACAAGTTTATCTCAGTGATAAACATATTTTGTTTATCACGGGGGCAAAAGTGTAATTTTTGCCTTGAAACCGCTACCTCAAGTAGCGGTTTTAAGGCAAAACCGCTACCTCAAATAGCGGTTTTGCTCAAAACTGCTACTTGAGGTAGCGGTTTTACTCCGTGATAAACGAAATTTGTTTATCACGGAGATTAACTGAGGCAGCCTCATTTTCAAGTGTTTAAACCCCTCTTTTCTTCAACCAGCTGCCAGTATTCTTTTCCCTCTCCTTTTCTTTAATCCTAGGAACATAAGATTAGTGTTTTGGGAGAAGCATAAGGATGAATAAGATCTGTGGAGAACACCTATCAAAGCAAGTTCTTGCAGGCGGACGATTATTAAAATTTAACCTTTCTTAGGTAAGAAATGACTTCCTCTAATTTAAAGTTTGGTTGCGCAAACCTCTAATCCTCTACATAATAGGTGTAGAGGCAGCTCCTACTAAAGAATGGGAGCAATGTTTTAATAAATGACAATTGCTTAGCACTATTTCATTTCATTTACCATTTCCAAATTAAAATTGGGTATTAATACGTAAGGAAAAAGAAAGAGGGGTGATTAAGCGGCACTCTCCATCCTTGTTTCATCTATTTGCCTTGTTTGAGCATAAACATTTTCAACTATGCACTATAAAGAAAGTATATGAATAAGACATTAGTCTTACAATTACACTAGTCGCCAAGTGATTTGTTGAGAAGTTAAAAATTATAGAATAGAGATAGTAAGGTTACATAGAGGTGTTAAAAACTAACTCAACCCGACACGAATTTCAATCCAGATTTCGACTGGCATAGGCACAATAATTTAGTATAACTCAAACTTGAACTAAACATAACCTGGTCAATCTCACCTCTCGATAATAGTTTTTAAATTTTAAAACGTAAAGGTTGTGTGAGGAGATAAGTAAAAAAGTAAAAGCGATAACCATGAAAAGGTTAAAGGAGTAATAGACTAAGAAAAAGTTGAAACTGCAAAATTAAAAGAAAAAAAATAAATTTGTATCAACATGAGGGAGTAAAATACCAATTTGCTTTTCGCCATTATAGTCTTAGGATCATAGTGTCTGCGTATAAAAAAACAAACAAACACCAACCTAAACACACAAACAACAAAGTAACACCTTGTAGAGGAAGAACGAAGTGTATGATAAACCAGACAAGCCTTACACCATACCATTTACTCTGGAGCTTGGACAACCATAAAAACCATACCAAAACCTTATTGCGGACCGAGAATTGCCAAATGAACCGAAAACCTTGAGATGGACATTGAATGCAAGTTGATACTAGTGAAGAGATCCGAAACTTACAATGACTCAAACCAATTTGCGATGGAAAATGTGGCGAGATGAAATGATTGAAATTTGCACCATGCTGCTGAAAAGAAGACGCTCGACACAATTCCACTCCTAAGGAACGAAAAGCATAGCTACTTCTTAGGAGTCAGGGAACAAAACCAAGAGAGTCGTAATTTCTCCTTGCTTTTTATTTATAAAGTTCTCTTTGTCAAAAAAAAAAAAAAAAAGCCCAAAAGTCTATGGATGACAAAATCATGCTCGTATTAACATTTAAACACGCGTTTAAGTATATACTGATGAATATCATTAAAACCAACCCCTATTACGTTGAAGAGATCATACCGACGAATGCCAATAAAAACTAACAAAAACACTAATGACGAAAAAAATGTCAAAAATATTCATTGAAAAACATACTCCGTGAATTTCAAGTGGATTGACTATTCGATAGATAATATTACATTCTCAAAAATTTTACAGTAATGCTTTAAAATTGACTAACTTATAACAACTTCTTCCTCTCGAAGAAATTCTTCAAGTAAAAAAATTGCAAACCAGCCACAGTTGAACAAACAAGAAATGAGAGAAAACCCAACCAATACATCCTGGAGTTGGTTGTTCTATTCAAAGCTTGCATCTCTTCTTCCCTATAGATCATATAAAATCGTTTTTAGCAATCTACATAAACCTTCATTATTCGTATAAATTCAAAAGGGAACTCACCTTTCACGGAGGTAGAACATTTCCTCATGAATGGAATTTACAGTATCCATTAGCTTCTTTAACTCCAATTCCATGACCTGATAAGAATAAATTTAGGCTAAATTTATACAATTTTTTTATAAGAAAATAATAATAATAAACATAACAAAAGTGAATAAGATGCTTACAATTTCCATCATTTAAAGAGACTTAATTAGTGGAGAAACTTTCGACAAGACATGGCAAGTAATTTTACAATATACAACTCCATACAAAAGGTTCTTTGCTGAATTTGAAAAGACAACAATACACAATCACATACTTCGTAATTCTTACCATGATACGTACTTCAAGACCTTTTAAATCAAGATAACAAAATACCATTGATTGAATCACATTTTATTGAATGTGAGAGAGGGTGAGGCCCAAACTTTTTGATAATAGAAAGAGCAAATGATTTTAGAATATTTTTTCAAAAAAATAGTGGGTCTTTTCAATATAAAACACTGTAAAAACAAATTTGGAATGAACAATAAAGGAAAGTGTAAGAACTAATTTAGAGGTGTATTAGTTTCTCTTGCCCCTCTAATGAATCAAACCTTAAAAAAAAAAAAAAAAAAACCCAATTTCAAAGAAATCTGTACAATTGTTGTGTTCATGCGTAAAAGGCCAAAACAATACTTGGAGCATCAGACACATCCCCCTTTGTATACATACAATAATGTATAAAGAACAAGGGACGATAGTAAGCGCCTAAAACAACTTGCAAAAATTAAAAAAAAAAAAAAAAAAAAAAAAAACTCAATCGCATGAAAAATGTCCTCCTTTCCTTTATTTGACACATGATCAAAAAAATAAGATAACTTGGAAGGATCTTTTAAACTTAGAAGTCAAACAAGAACACTTTACTAGGATGTTGGAAGTATCAATCAAAAACAGTTCCTGCTACAGAACACAGGAGGTTCCCCTCCCCCCATGCAGCCAAGGGAACCTATTCAATCAAATAAGAAATAGAGAACAGCCACTTCCTCCGTTTCTTTTTTATTGCATCACTTTTCTAAAACGAAAGTTTCAAATTAGTTCCCAACACTTTCCTTTTTAGTTAACTAGAGTGTATCCGTGCTAACGGGATATACGTATATATATTTAAAAGAAAAAAGAAATAAGAGGAAGTTGTTGATATTTTTTTTTGAAACAAATGGAGAAGTGGAAGTTATTGCCAAAAAAAAAAAAAAAAATAAATAAATAAAAAATAAAAAAAAAAGTGCACAAAAGTTAAGGATTGGAATTTCAAGTGATGTGGTGAGAGTAGTGGAAGTTAGAGAGGAATTTACAAAAAAATAATATAAAAAAATGCATAGAAATGCTCCATTCAAGGATTGGAGTGTTGTGGTGAGAAGCTGGAAAAAAAATCTTAAATTATATAAAGATAAACTCTCTCTCTAACTCTCTCAAATCACATGGGTCCATTTTTTTTTTCTGTATCTCTCTCATCTCCAAAAATTGCCTAGGAGTCCACAATTTGCAAAGTGATACACCTAAAAACAACGAAGGAAGTATTTGTTTTTATCATTCACTAAATGATAGAAAAACCCAAGTACAAACCATTTGTTAAATAAATGCTTGCATTAAGTACAAGCAAAATTAAAATTTTGTCTATACCCTTCATACTTGTTTGGGTGGCTTCCTTTGTACTCCCTCTATTCTTTTAGGTTTGTTCACTTCAATTTTAGTCCATTCTTTTTGGTTATACTAAGGCTATGTTTAGTTCACCTTACCTCACTACCTAATTACTTAAAATAAAAAAAAAATCAAATAAATCAGATCTGAAATAAATATACTCTCAACACGTTGTCGTTTTACATGCATTTTTTTCACTTAATATCTTTAATTTCGTAATGAAAAAAATTATAAATACTACGTATTAATAAAAATACATATTAATACAAATCTAATAAGACCATTCTAGATACATTTTTTTCCTTATAAATTAAGGAATATATAAGGTCCAAGTTTAGCTAAACCATGGCAATCAAATCAAAATATATAAGTTCAGATCACATAAGCAAATCTGAAAAAATATCTTCAGACCAGATAAGCAAAAATAAGAAGTAAACATAGCCTAACTTCACTTTATTCTATCTAGGCTTACCTCTTTCAAAATCATAAACATATAATAATTACACTTTTCCACATACCCTCTCTCTTACTTTATCTACCGTTCTTACACAAACTCACCTTTTTACTATCTTTCTTACTTTATCGTACACCCACACACATTCTTCAATATTCTCTTAAAATGTGCATCTACATTAACCTAGTAGAACATAGAACAGAGAGAGTGATTTGGTCCAATCACCATAGATTTTTGTGTCCATCTCATCGAACCCATATAATTCTACAGTTTGTACCCTTACCCTCACAAGCAGGCCTAGTGATTGGGTGGTACTGCTCAGGATCTCTAAGGAGGTGGACAGGGCAAGAACCACGCGGTTCACCGCTATGGCTATCTGAAAGAGGGTTGTCATGGGCTGATATGACCACGGCATCACCGTTTTTACCTAATCAGAATAGACTAAGAGAGAGAGGGGCTTGTAATATGAATGTAGATGCAATAAATATTCATAAACATAGCTAAAACTGTTAGTAGTGACTAGTGAGTAAAGCCCGACCACACTAAAGAATAGACTAAGAGAGAGAGAGAGAGAGAGAGAGAGGGGCTTGTAATATTTTGATTGGGGAAAAAGTCTCAACATTATTTAGCCCAGAATCCCAGACATTAATCATCCAAAACATAATAAGCATCATCCCTATTAGCAACTTAGCACTGGCAACAATCACCAAAATAAACAAAAATATTAGAAGAGCAGAAAGCCGGAACAAGATAAGTGAGGAGTCAAATTTAAAGCCAATGGCCCAGTCCAAAAGGAGTATTGATGTTTGTCCCAACGCAATTGCCATCTGCCACAACTATTAAAAACTCCAACCAAATGCTCACATCTAAATCAACAGCATCATTAGCAAACCCCTACAGCTTCCTTACAAAAGAGAAGCATTTTAAGGTGTCTGAAGACCATCTCCCATTCTATCTACATTCAATCAGAGAAGTGTTGGAGACTTGTGCAAGCCAGTATTGAGGAAGCAACACTAGATTTAGGATAACACTTAAGAGTATGTAGCCTAATTTCAAACACCAACTTTGGCTAAAATTTCAAAATATCTACAATACACCGCAATGTCTTCGGAAGTCTCAATAGATACCATTAACACTATGTTTGGATATCAATGGTGAAAGGAAAGGGATGGAAAGGAAAAGGAGGGAAGGGAAAGGGTGGTTAGAGGAGGGAGAGAGTGGCCTTCCATTTTCCTTCATATCTCCAACAATGGAGGGATTTGGTTTATTAAAGGGGAAGAACAATGGATCCCTCCACTTCCTTACCCTTCCCTTGCCCTATGTCTTATCTAAGGGAATTAAATCCCTCACTTTCCCTTCCCTCCTTTTTCCTCCAAACATTCCTATCCAAAGAAGGAAGGAAAGGAAAGGAAGGGAAAGGAAAGGTAAGATCTATTTTCCCTAGATACCTCCCTCTCCTTCCCTTCCCTTCCACCAATCATTTACCCAACAAGAGAAATTGTCCTCCTTTTCTCCACTTCTTTTCCTCCCATTTCATTCTATCCAAACTTAGAAAATGTCCTATTGTTTGAACATGTAGCCAATTTTGGGACAAATATCGTCTTTTTACCAAGAGCATACGTGAAAATCGTCACTTTACAGCTATAATATAAGTAACCACGATCATGACTCTAACTGCCACTAAAGGAAGAATCTTGAAGGGCTAAATCTGAATATTTAATGACCTCAGAGTAATTCAACTTGAGCTATACAATTGCAAAGAGAGCTGAATTCTCCCACCCAAAATTTGATGACAATTGCTAATCATGTAACAATGCAAGGCATACCCCTCAATCCCTCAGCCATAGTACAACATTAGCTACTTTGGCTAAGCAACAAGAATGATCAAAGCATCAAAAAATCACAAGTCTAGATATACCGAATATGAGTCCCAAGCCCCATACTCAACATAATAAGCCTTTTTCATAGTCAATTCATCATCATCCTCATTCCGATATACCTTCTTCGTAACACGAATTGCAATAACTAACTCGTCAAACAGAAAATACAATATAATTAAACACAACTGGAGCACTATGACAACAAAATTTACCTCAACGGTGCCCTTTTTAGCAACACTACCCCAATCCTTAGCAGCAACACCAGTTTTCCAATCAAAATCAATAGTCACAGTAATAGCCGGGTTATGCTCCGGCGTCCAAAAACACGCCATATAATCGCCTGACTCCACAGCAGTATACGCAAACTGCCCTGATTCCACATGATCTGCAGTGTGATAGTTATTCCCATACGCCGATGTCACCTACAATCGCAATCAAATCAAATTAGGGTTTCCAATTCACCAAAACAATTCCCCAAAACAAAAATCAAAATCAAAATTACCCGAACAGTGACTTTGTGAGTATCAGGCAGAGGATAACCTTCATTGGGATTGACGATGTGATACTTTCCGACGGTCATGGAGTTGCTCTTGATATCTTCGGAAATGCATTTAGTATGGCCAGATTGAAGATCAAATCTAAGGGATTGAGAAAAGGTAAGCAAAAACCCTAGAATTACGAAAATTTGTAATGATCTTTGGATCATTTTCGCAGAATTCTAGGGATTTGATTTGAGGAATTTCTCTCTCTAGAAATCGCAGCAGCTCGTAAAATTGCGTCGAATTCGCAGTCGATATAGAGGAGAGAGAATGAATTGGGGGAAAGAGAGTCAAAGGAGGAGAGTACGAGGGAGAGCTTTTTTTTTTTTTTTTTTTTTTTGTTTTGAGTAATTAAAAAAAAAGATTAGATTTGTGTTGTAAACTGAGAAGATGTGATTGGAGATGGGAGGAATTGCAGCTTACGTGGTGTGTTCTTATTGGAAGGTATACGTTATTGGGGGACTTTGAGTTAAAGCCATGAAAAGCTTTGACCTTATTTTGAGTTTTTGATGGATTAAATAATTAAATTGTAATAAACTTATTAACCAAAAAAAATATATATTAAAAAATTATCTTAAAAAATTCATGTGGTTATCTAATACTCCGTATTCACTTCGTTTTTTTAAATGTCCACTTCGTTTTTTTAGATGTTACGCATTAACAGTCGTGTAATGATACATAAATTAATTGACTTTAATATCATAAAGTGTTAGTTAGTTTCGAGTAGATCCTATTATCCTAACATCATTTACCAACTTGAGGCATCAATTAAAAGAATTATTTTTTTTTTTTCTTCTTTTTTTTTAATGAAGGAAGCATCAATTAAGATCTTGATAACTTATCCTTACTAAAACGCGTGTAACACATTATATTCATCGTAATGTCAGCTCTAGTACAAATTTAATTTGCAATTGAACTATATATTAACCTAGCCTAACTTTACATTTGCCTATATAGGCTTTCATTAGGAGATGTGAACTGCTATCTTGTCACCATCATCCCATGCATCTGACCACAACTGCCAGCCACCACCAACACTCCATGCATCACTGCCTTCAGCCCGCCATCACCATACCACCTCGCCCACCCCCAATAGACCTCTCCTGCACTTTCCTCTTCTCTCCACGGCCACCACTACAGCACCCAAACCAAACCACCAACACGGCTCCACCAAAACCTACAAATAACCACGAATGGCAGAGACGTTTGTGGATTCCACATAAAGCTTCTGCGATTTAACAAAGAAAAAAGGAGGAAATATTCTGAGATCACAAAATTAAGGCAAAAATTCTTTAACATTTCCTCTACCTTGCGCTTAGAAACTACAATTCGTGCCATCATGGTAGGACAGGAAGCTCCATTTTGTCAAAGGAGAACAAACTAACTCGTCCATCATCTACATGACCAACTTTTAAGGGAAGTCCATTGCTTTGTCTCTCCAGTACTTTGATATCAGATAGTGAAGGTGGATGGCCACTGAATATCACAATATCAAATTGAATTACCAAATGCACATATTTGGAAAATAACCTAATATATGTATCTAAAAAACAGAGCATTACTTCAAGTTAGATATTGACCAAAATGAGCACAACACTTTCAAAAGTTCCAATGCAGAAAGTCAAAAACATCACTCCATGTCTCTATTTGCAATTGACTAGGAGACTTGAGAGGTTGAGAGTAACATATTTACCATTTATAAAACTACTTCTGGGCTTGTCGTGCATCAAAAACACTAAAATACCACAGTTCGATCACTTAATGTCTTATGCAATCATGTAATATTATCAACTCTGATTTCCTATCTTCTACAGAGTATCATTTATTCATCTTCCAATGCAACATTTATAACTCATAAAGAAGGAAATTGTTATTTTCAGCAGTCACAAAGAAAAGATTTGTAATTTTGGGGTCAATTAAGCTAATATAGTCTACAAAAAATTATAAAACTTACATCATACATGGTATGACAGCATAATAGCATATGTCAACATAATTACAAGGAAACATAACCCATAAGGCAGTAACCCATAATTCAGAACACTCTGAATCCCAAACTTTCTGACCGTAATTTAACCACATGTAATATTCCTAACGATCCTCACATATTTGAGATAGAAGTGCATGCTATGGTATATAATATTCAGGATACAGGTCTCGTTTATTATATGACAAGTATGAGCTAGAATTTTGCAAAGCTCGACACTTTTTGAAATTGCATTGGACTCGATAAGAAAATTTGCGAAAATTCCAGCTATGAAAAGAAAACAGAATACTCCAGAAGCAATTACCTGGTAGGATAGACAACAAAATTTGGATCCCCAGGGCATGTCTTCTTGAACTGGCTGTTTGGAAGATAAACTTCATAAACGGGTAGATGGGCAACAAATTTTGATTCTTCAGGAAATGTCTTCTCAAAATAGTTCAGAAGACCATCTTCAGAAATAGGACTTGCTTCCTCGAGTTGTATATTTTTCAATGACTGAACAATGGAAGTCCCAGCAACTATAATTAGTGTCGCATTATTGTTTTCGGATGTATTATCAGGAACCAATGTGCAATTCTTTATGCTCTTCAGGCTCCATGGAGTGCCAAGCCTCCCAACAATGTAGCCAAGAGACTTAAGATGCTGATATATTTTGAAACCTTCCCAACTGCAACCACTCTTATCTTCTGCAACTTTTGGATAGATCTCTCTTAAAGAAAGGGCAGTACTTTTATCATCAACAAGAAGCAATGCCCCTATTTGTACTAAAAACCTATAATATCGAACACTTATCAGAGACTCAAACAAATATAGGTAAACATCCTTAATGTGGACAACTCCATACATCTGATGTGTCAATAGCATTTCCTAAACATCAGCTGGATAAAATCTATTATAAAAATCAAAGCTTATTGAACATTGCTTGCCTATATGAAGGATGATCATATCATTGTCTGAGAAGCAATTTCGATAAATATCAGTGACTGTGCAAGAGGCACTTTTTAGTACATTTTAATAAAAGAAGCTTGTCAGCTTTGATTTAAACAGATTACGGATTTAATGATATGAGTATATAAATTAAGAGTTTTCTTGTCAAAAGCATGCCAGGAACAGAAAAACAACAAAAGCAACATGCCTCGGGAGAATATTAAAGTTAGCATAATACACATGGTACTCAGTCTCACACCAAAAATAATCTAACTTAAATCATTAAGAAACTTCAGCTATCAATGGGGCCAAAATTATTTAGCAAAACAGTCTCATAGAATAAAAGGCAATAAATCAAAAGGCATGCACAAAAATCAAATTGACATTTGGCAAAGCAGTGAAAGGGAATGAAAAATAAATGCATCTTTGTTAAGATAAGAAATATACAACGGTAAAAAAAACTTGGGCCAAAAATGGTCACCAGATAACTTACAGTGTCTCTTCAATTGATAGATATATCTTGCCATTACGATTGATCCCCATCGATTTTAACAAATTGCCCTTGTGTTTCATGATCTCGGCCATACCCATTTCATCTTTCCAACACGCCTTAAAGACAACACTCCTATAATAGAAAGATCATACACTGTTAATTAATTCTGAGTATATTCAAAATTTCCCAACCTTTGCATATTGGAATACATAACCTGAATTGCAATCTGGTTTGGGAGCCTGCTTCACTGTACAATTCTTCATCTGCAGAATCTTGTGAAGAAAACTCAGAATCACTCAATCCCTGTAAAGAAGTTAACAACTCCTCTGCCTCCAATCTACCATCCATAGCTGTATTTATCACCAATGTTACAAAAAACAGTAACCTAGTTCAGGCTAAGGGTCTCCAAATCAGATCATAGATTTTTTTACCTCCTGCATATTAAGATAGAAGTAAGCAAAACAATATGAGAATATATTCATGTCTGAAGTAATGAGCCTTCAACTTCAATTGTAACGGACCTAAAAAATCTTATGATGGATCAACACTGAACATAAATTTAATCCACGAGACAACATACAGGCAAAGACTTTACATAGCAATTGTTCATAAGGACATCTCATATTTTGGAATCACTATCAATCACATTTTTCGTACATAAGAGCCACAAAATCAGAATAATATTTTATAATTCAAATTTTACAAATATCTTAACAACTACTATGAATTTACAGCTGACATAACACACATACACGATCATTCTAAGCACAAGAGCACAGAAATAATCAATCGGCGATAAGTGTAAACCACACACCCAGAAACTCAAACAAAACTAATAAGCAGCATGTTTAAATACAGCAATGTTTAAAAGAAAAAAAAAAGTGTGCCCCCTCTTATCCCTTTCTCTCTTCTCTTTTAGGGTTTTAATTTTTTTGGCCGTTTAAGCCAGAAATAGTCGAACAAATTAGACTATTTCCGACCCTTTTTCTTAATTTGATTTAGATGTTTTGCTTTATTTCCTTTTTTCTTTGCTTTATTCTCTCCATTTGTGAGAGTCTGTCCCAATTTTCTAGGATTTGATTCTCATTTATGGATGAAATTTTTATTTTAGGGTTTTGATAATTGGGAAGGTGATTTTGATTCATATGGATTTAGGGTTTGTTATCAACTTTACGATCTGAACATCAGCACAGGATACGAAGGTTGCTCGTGTCAAGTTTGAAGCGGTAGAGTGTAAGCTATGATAAATATGCAAACTAGTTACTCCCTCCGTATTTTATTACTTGCTCCATTTCTCCATGCACGGAGTTTTAGGAGAAATAGTAAAAAGTAATAAAATATGAAAGAACTGGGGTTGGTGGAAGAATAAAGTATAACAGTTTGGAGGAGAGAAAATCTAAAAATGTTCAAGTATGATAGTTGGGGGTCCACTAGGAGTGAAAAAGTTAGTAAAATATTGTGAAAGGTTTCCCAAAAAGGAAATGGAGCAAGTTATAAAATACAGCCGCAAAAGAAAAGTGGAGTAAGTAATAAAATACAGAGGGGGTATGATTTTGATTGTAAAAGTTATGTTATTTTCTCTAATTTGTATTTACAAATCAATGCTATTATTGTAGACGCCGTATGGCTATTTGTTAATGATAATATATTCTTCCTGTAAACAAAAAAAATAGAAAAAAAAAATTACAGCAATGCGTAATCCCATAATTAATACAGTACACATCACACATCTCCACCTAGAATGTTTTTTTAAAAAATCACAAGAAGATGGTGAGGTTGGGAGAAGCCAAAGAGTGAAAATAATGGGGAGGAACCAGGAGGGTCATTAAAATCTTTTCTCGAGCAATCTTAAACTAGACACCACACAATTCATTGCTTAACAATTGGGTAGATTCTTGATCGCCATTCAATAATCATCAAATGTTTTGCACTGACTTCGATACTATGGTTCTTAACAGGCTAAGCTTATGCTAGAATCTGTGGCTGCACCACATGAAAAGGTACAGCGATTTCCTGTTCCAGACTTCTTGTATCTGATAAGAATAATGTGTTATACTTTCAGCTTCTGGGCAAAGTTGTACTTATTTACCAATGTAGATGCATCCCCATTCATATGATGACTTATTAACTAGACAAAGGAAAGACTTGCCAATTCATCTAACATTACCAGGATCTATGTCTAGAACTTGCAGCACTACAACAAAGAAGTAGAAAGCATCCTAAAGCTTATCATTTCCCACTGCAATTTCTTTAAACCACTTGTGATTTAATAGGTTTTTATTGACAATGTTCTATTCATCTATATTGTACTTCATTCTCACTTTGAGGTAGGGTGGGTGGATCATGTTAGGCAAGATTGCTTGTATCTATCAATTCTCATGGGACAACCAACCAGTTTGATAAGCATTTGTAAGTTGTAGTCCATTCCTCGGTGGACAAATGAATTTCACAAAGTGATTGCAGTGATAAGATAGATACCAACAGGCAATAATTTCCGTCTCTAATTTCCCGATCTTGGACACAATACCTTGGAAATATAGGGTGAAACTAGAACCTATGGAACTAATCCTAGAGCATCCTTGACATTTTCAATAATATTCTCCTATATAGGATACCTGCTGCTTCACGTCTTCAAAATGCATGTAGTGAACAATAAGGTTAACAAACTTGATGTACGTTCCCTTCTTGACATCCCTCCTTTCCTTGAAAAGAGGAGCCAACGCATACCTATCTTCAGTGCTCCGGCCAACTAAATCAATATTACAGCAAGTTGTGAACCTCTATACAACCGCAATTAACAAAACTACTGAAACAAGGGATAAAATAAAGTTCCTAACTTCCTATGTAGAACCCAGCCCCCAATTAAATTAGAAAAAAACTATGCAGAATAAAGTTCCTTAAGTGAAAAATACAGAGTAATTGTAGCTCAGTTGTGGATTTTAACTCAAAAGGTGTAGATGCAGTATTTTCTGTGTCCTAAGAATTTTTTTTTACCAATTGCTCCTCCTCAAAAACTAGGTTAGTTGGACTTCTTTAATAGTTGAAGCATGTGAAACAGTTCCTTGTTCATCCAAAGCAAAAGTCATCAGAAATTTCAGATGGGAATATGTAAGTCTTTGGAAGAACATTCCTAGAAGAGTTGTCCCTCAATATTAATCTTGTTATAGTTAGATAAAGTTTAAGCATCATGATCAGGCTTAACTTCTTGCCCAGGCCTATCGACTATAGCTGATCCAAATGGGAAATGGTAATAATGGACATATGTCATATACCATGCCCTCAACAGGTAAGAACACTTCCTCTGCTATGGCAGCAGCTGTAGGGGCATGAGGCTAAGCATTTGGATTTTTATTTTTATTTATTCTTTGCACTGGTAATGCTAATTGGTGTATCTATATACAATGAAAGCTCCTTATTTTTCTGATGAGGACTCGCATTCTCATTTGATTCCCTTGTCTCCAATATGTAAAACTATGATTGTCTGTTCATACCAATTTATTAACTACTATACTACACCAGTGTAATAAAGTAGATGCAGTGTAATAAAGCATTAATTAGCAGACATGGTGAGGATTAATGTATTGTATATTTACTTGGTCATTGCATTCCTGTGCAATCTGTTACTAATAATGTGACTTAGTCTCCACTCTCTCTAGTTATCTTGGGATTCTGTGGTTATGCTATCCTTACAATCAGGCAGGGGAAATCAGCAACATAGACAGAGAACACGAAGACATTGGTATACTCGAATAGAACTGTAGTTCAAGACTACAGTTTTTGTAAGTGTACATGCAAGATCTTCTCTGATAGCAAGAAAGGTAGTGCAACTGTGTAAGAGGAACTTCGAGATATCCCCAGAAATGTGAAAGTGAATACATTGTGCTGAAGCTTGCAGCTGTGCAATGTATATATTCCGACAGGCTTGACAGCTGAATCCAGACGAGGGTAGACGGGTACAGGTACATTATGTAGGTGCCTAAGACATGTTATCCTACTGATAAGGTTCCAAACTTATACCTCCCCCCTCTATGACCTCTAGTCAGTTAAGGTGTTCATATCGTATATCAAAATCTTGTCGTTAGACCGGAATCACTAGGATCCATTACATAGGTAATCTTACCCTTAACCAGTCAATTATACTATAAGTTCCCAATTTCCTAAACAACATCCTTTGTTAGGGGTAAATCTTTTTTTCATCATGAAATAAAGTGGCAAAAGATACAAGAGAACATACAATCTGAAGCAAATAAAAAAGAAAAAGACAGATTACTTGCAGTTACAGTGGATATCAACTGTATCTGAAATAATCTGTTTCATGCAAATAATCAAATTATAAATACTGACGGTTAAAAATAAATCCGCCTAATCTCATGGTTCAGGACTATTGTAATGAAATGAATGAAATTAAAAGAAATGCTTCATGATTAAAATGAATAAAATAAAATTACAAAATACACATTGAACGTATTCAATTCAAATCAGCAATTGAAAACAAATAAACTAAAATTGCATACTAAAATACTAAACTAGTAAATTTAGTGTATAATTTCGCATGTAAAATTGAATGAGCATATAACTAAATTTAATCGTTCATCCTCCCAAATAAACATATACCTAATTTTAGTTCAAGTAACTAAAAAATAATCTCTATATCTGTTATAATATAAATTTAAAGTTGATACAAATCCAAGTAGCTTAATAATCTAACAATATATAAATTAAAAACTGATACTTGAATAAAAATGTCGTTGGATGAAACTTACCGTGATTTGCAATCGGCGCCGGAGAAATGGTGGCCGCCGCTTTTGAGGAGAGAGAGTTATGTGTGTGAGAAGGATCGCTTCACTACTGGTCTTTTATTCACTTTTTTATTTTGTTTATTTGTTTTATAATTTCCATCTTTTTATTTTTGGGCCTAAGAGATCGGTTTTTAAACACAACTGGACTCTTTAGTTAGTTGTTTTTTTAATAAAAAAAGAAGTATGTAACCCCGTCTTTTTTCCTTCACCTTTTTCTCTCTCCTCTCTCTCTCAGACTCATTCTCAAAAGGTTTTTTTTTTTTTTTTTTTTCTTTAGTATAGAAATACGAAAATCAAGATTTGGAGGAGACTATACTCAAAATTCACACCGATTTTCAGTATTCAGGTAAGAATTTAAAGTCTTTTTATTTTTTGATTCTGTTTTGCTATAATCGATTTTTATTTTCAATTTCGGTTGATTTCTATGTAAAGAAAGATTGTTGAATGATTAACAATTCCCATAATTTTCTGTTTGTTTCCGATTTTGATGCTTCAATTTACTGCTCATGTGTTTCGGTTAATTAAAGTTCCAATTACATTTGAAAATGAACCAATACTTGTACAATTTTCATTGAAGAATCAATTAAAGCGATGTGTGATACGATTGAACCTAAGTAGTAATTCGCCGTTATAGAATAGTAATTCGAGTCGTTCATACAATTCGAAATCTGTGTTCATCAAAGAATGACTGATTACAACTTAGGAAAGTCCATTTTGAATTTATCAAGTTTTTTTCTGAACTTTCTAAATTATATACAGAAAAGATTGACTCCCATGTATGATGTATGCCAATGTCCCTAAGAAAATCGTTTGACTTGTGTTTGCAGCAAACTCGTTATGCTGAACTCGGTGTTTTGATGATCATTTGTAGCATCAAGTAGCTTGTATAGGTTCTTCTTGATCGCGCTCTTATTCTCCTTCCGGGGTAGATGGATGAGAGGATTATGTTTAGGCTATGTCTGAGTAATTGGTGTTATTGAACGTTTTTCATTGTCTACAATTATAAGGTTAAATTGAAACTTGGACATGTAGGAATGTAGCCCTGCTTAGCATATGAATTAGCTTCATTACTGTTCTACTAATTTCTCAAAAGGCGGTCCTTTTTTCTCTTGATAGGACGAAATGTGTGAGGGTTCTTTTTGATGAGAAAATCCTATGTTAATCACTTCTTGTAACTTGAAATAAAATTAGTCCAATTCTTTTGTTAGGTTCTTAATGTCTACCCTTAATATAGGAGTTTAGCTTCCCCTAATTACTTCTGAAAGCTTAAAAGAATTCAAATGCAAATATCAAGTAATAAGGAAGATTGAAATCAAGGAACTGAACCTAGTGATGTGAAAGATCCTCAATATTGCTACAGAAGTAGATCAAGTAATAAGGAAGATTAAACTCGATTAAACTCGAGGAACTTAACCTATTGATGTGAAAGATGCTCAATATTACTACAGAATTAGCCGTTTTTGGTGCAGTTTAGATGACTAGATTTCTACTAGTATATACAAAGTAAGTTTTAGGAATGATTAAATGCTGCAAAGAAAGTGTAGGTTTTTTAATTGGAATTATTGATGATTGTGAGCTGATTTAGCAACTATGTATCCAATGACCCAAAAGATTCATTATTTTTTGAGGTATTATGGATTTTATCAATATGGCTTTGCAAGCTTAATTTTTTTTTTTTTTTTAATTTCTAATTGCGAACAAGCTGACCGTCTATGGTTTCTGGATGTCGCTGACTGGAAACAGTATATCTGTTTCAATAGGGTAAGTTGTGTGTGCATTTATCCCCTCCCCGACATTGTTGTTGGCATGGCTTTTCAGAGGCGTATTTATATTGATGTAGGATTGAAGTAATTTAGCGAGTAGTTAAGACTTCAACCTTTTTTATCAGGAGATGGTGAATTGTTTACTGGGCATATTAAAAGATCATTTTGTTGTCATTTGAGGATGGTACTCTGTTTTTTGGTTAATTCCTATTGATGATTAGAAGATCACTACTTGAGTATGTTATAGAAAAGATTGACCAAGTGCTGACATAATCCTTTGCTTTATCAGTTGATTAACACTGCATGTTTGCGTCATTCAAAGTTCTCCAAGGGGTTGCAATGCATTGAATGATCACATAATTTAGGTAGTACTGAAAATTACAAAGCAGCCTGGCAGAGTGGCAGGATTAAGGCAAACCTCGTATGATAGCTGGCACCCCAGTTTTGGAAGTTGTAATTACTGCGTATTAAGATAGAAATTTCATACTCTTAACAAAATTAATACTTCTAGGAGGGCAGCTACACTAACACAGTTGACTTTTGAATTTAGCTTTTGCCTTTGGCTTTATCACAGATTAGGGCTGTATGCGGTAAGAATTTTTTTAAGCTTGCTGTTTTCTCTTTTGAAATAACGTATGTTGTTTCAATCTTAGTCTTTATAGAAATGGAAGAATCAGAGAGGGCAGCAATAAGGGCTGCATCTAAAGAGGTTTCTCATGAAGTCAATACTCTGATGAATGCAGAGGCTATTGATTCACTCAAGCAAATGCAACACCTCATATTAGGAAGATTGCAAGACAGCAATGCGGTGCTTTCACATTTTAATGAATACTCAGAGAATTGCTATGCAGATGTCATGGCTGACTTTTCAAAAAACACTCGTCTTTTGAAATCAATGAAGACTGACCTTGACTACATATTTTTGAAGCTGAGAAGCATGAAGTCCAAGATATTTGCTACTTATCCTGATGCGTTTCCTAATGAATCCTTGGAAGTTGTTGACACTAGACCAGACCTTGAGGTGCCTGTGTGTGAAGAGAGTCAGCAAGGTCATGCTGGTCCAACAGTAACCCATAATCAACCACCAACTGTATAATACATTATTTGAACGTTAACCATCTTACGTTGTAGTTTGAACCTTGTTGAGTGAGCTCTACTGTCAAATTTAAATCTATCGTATGGAGTATAGTTTTACTCCAAGAATCTCTCTTGTTAGTTGTTTACAATTTGAATTTTCACTTTGGAGTTTCATCACCCCAATTGGAATCACCATAGTGACCCACCATCACCTCTAGCCTTTCCATTAATCCATTGCCAACTACATTCACCAACCATCTGCTTCACCACCAGTCAACTACCATCTCTTATATCAATGTTATCCCAACCCGCTGTTCAACTAAGTGTTCAGATCACCTTGACAACATATAGGAAGCTGCTGAGAGAGTGTCCTTGAAGGGAAGGTGCACCCGGGCAGGCGAGCATAGGTTCCCCTAGTGTATGTTAGATGCTGTCCAAGCCGAGTAACATATATGCCTCAACCAACTATGGAACTATGCCATTAACATTTTTCATGTGCCACTGTAGTAACTGTAAGGAGTATGTTTTACGAATATACTGTTACTAATTATTGATTGAGATTCTGGACCCTCCTAGGCTCCTACCATCATGGGCCTTGGGTGGTCACCTGATTCAACCAGGGCCGGCCGTGCGCATCCTTAACCTCCTTTATATATTCCATAAATATTGTTCTAGCCCACCCAGCCACGATCTCCTTCAATTCCCTCAAACATGTAGAATCATGTTACCATACCTTATTAGCTACGTATACTATTGGAGTATAGGAGCATAATATAAGAGTGTGTTTGGATTGAAGGAAATGGAAGGAAAGGAAGGGAAGGGAAATGGAGGGAGGGAGTTTCTTTCATTTGGATAAAAAAATTAGGGATGAAGGGAATTAGAGGGGAGAGAAATTGAGGGACTAAATTCTAGAAAAATGATCCCTCCAACAATGGAGAGATTTAGAAAGAAAACTCGTCTTTCTTCCTTCCCCTTCCTTTCCCTTCCCTCCCTCCCTTTCTTTTCCTTCCCTTAACATTACCCAAACAACCTGTAAATGTTGGTCTCTGGGCCTTCAACCAACATTTAACTTTAAGCACAAAAGAAAAAGCATACATGATTAGTTGCCCTGAGTTTTTATAGTATGTAATATACTGTATTATCTTGGTTTTTTTATGGATACTCCTATTTTAGATATTTACCAAATGTCTTTGAGGTTTTTTGTAAAAAAAAATGTCCAAAATATCCTTGATGACTTTGCTATTAGCTTCAGAAGTGCCTCCGAGACACTAGTAAAGATTTGACTTATTTAAATATACAAGTTGAACAACACATAATGCGCTTCAAATATAATTTGCATAGTTAATTGAGTATGTTTCCTTGAAAGATATTATTGTATATAGATAAATTGAATCAAAAGGAAAATTACATCAAAAACTATGTACAGCCTAAACCACTAGTTCTTAGTGGAAACTTTTGTCAAATAATACAAACTTTATTTTTCCATATTGAAAATAGTCTAAATGAAATTATAAATTGAATCTGCTTTCAAATTAAACGCATATAAAATAAAACACATAGTACGTCTCAAATTCTCAATCCTTAATATACAGAAGAATTAGTTTAAGATGTACAAGCATTAGGTTATGTACCTCCACGCTATATAAAATGAGAGGTAGTGCGATAATTGACAATTGTACACATTGAAATAGTTAAAAAAAAGAGACGTAGAAGTTAGTGAAACAGCAGAAGTTAATTGCGCATTAATGTACTCATCATGTAGTGTCGCACTATTCCGACTTTATTTTCTCCTTTTGTTGGGCAAATAAACATTAATTAAATAGTGATTACTCTTAAATTCCATAATTAAGTAGTTAAAGGGTAACCTGATAGGTGGTCCATAGATCTAGTTACATGCACTGATCCCGGCATTGATAATTGTAAGATTTGTAACGTTGGAAAATCCAATTATTATAGTGAGTTGAGTGAGTGAGTGAATGGAGTGCTTTGGGGACAACACACTCAATTACTCATCACTTCATATTTACGTCTTCAACATCACTTTTTCTTCCTTTTTCAACTCTTTTGGTGGTCGTTTGCCTAAGCATAAATGTTGTAGCCCTTGTAGGAAATGGTTTGTAGGAATTTTAGGCAAGGAGAAGAACTTTTTCAATCTGCATTAACGAGTAAGGTCATATTCTCTTAAACTATATTTTCTGTTCTATTCTACTCTACTGGAAAAAAAAAATGTCATTTTTTGTCTGACACAAGTGTCAATAAAACTTTAAGACGATTTTAACAATTACTCACATGACTAAGTTTAATTTATATATACAATATTCAAATATTGGTCAAGGTGATGATGTGGATATTACGAAAGACAAAGTGAGACATTTACTTTGAAAAGAAGTGAGTTTAAATTCTCGTACGAATTACTTTATTGCCGTCGACTTATTTTTTACTCCAAATTTTCTATTACCGAAAGTAGAAGTACTACTTCCTATAATACGAAGTATGTAATCCTAGAAACTAGGGTCTTTTTGGTACATTGTCAATTTTAAATTTTTGATATTTAGATTTTTAAATTGTTCTGTAATTTTAGAATTTATATCCAAACTTACTTCCCGTCCTTGGGTGAATTTGATAGATGTTGTTATCTTGCCTTAAGCTTTCACTCATTCACCCACTTGAAAACGAAGGTGATTGGTGGTGATGGTGATGGCTGAAGAGTGCTATGGCCTATGGGGTGTATGGTTGCAACATCATATTTTCGAAATAGTGACAACTCGCTACCCTTAATTGTTTAGTTGTTTCTTCATGTACTATTGATGAATTGGGGTTAGCATTTAGCAAACTCCCACAATCATATATTGATGGTGATTTCCTTGTTTTGTTAGAAAGTAGTGGGAGAATTAATGTTGATTGTAAAATCAAAACTACAAACCTATTTGGCACACATATTTGACATATGAATTTCTAATAAGACAAAACTCTTCGATAGAGAAAGACTAGCCCCATATTCATGTATGTAGATATAAAAGCGATTATTATTGGCATGCATGGGAATGAGGGATGTAATTTAGGATGTGGTGAAGCTTGTACAATTGAGGATTAAGACTTTAAAATGTTGTGGTTAAAAGTAGCGAAAATGACATTTTAATTATTACATAAATCTATAGTTTAATTATTGTATATTGTAAAAGATTACCTGGTTTTTGGATATATGTTTGATTACTCAATTTCATCACTTAATAATAACGTCCTTTCTCATTGTGTTAGTGGAATTTGATCCCAAGACATGCCAATGAAGTACGGGAGTAGCTAACAATTACTATCAAACTACACACTTAGATCATAAAGATTAAGTGCATTATTGGTGTTCCAGGTATAGTGGTTGGGCTCCGATTTTGGACTGTTGGGATACCTACACAGTAGCTCATGTGACTACCCTCAGGGGTGGCTCGAGGAACTCCCCTTCAATGTTTAAGTAATTGTATGTGTCTTAGTGAGAGAAAGTTTTCCTTAGAGAGAGATTAGGGTGCAGTTAAAAGTACAGATTGTCTAACCTCCTATTCTATTGTACTTTGATGAATACCATTTATATTTGTGCGAATAAGAGCTGAGTGGGAGTCATTCCAATCAGCTGTGAACTAACCTAGGTGGCTCCTAGGCTTAGCAGTGTCATATTGATGTTTGAGGTGCCATCTCCAAGCGAGACTGAGAGCGGGAGATAACTTAGTAGAAACTATCTCATATCATTACCCCCCAAAAGATGGGATCTATGATGAAGTGACTCATGCAAGTCCTTTTGAGTAATGACCTTAATCGGTGCTGCTCAATTGACTACCCAGCTGAAGTCTCCCCATATTATAGATTGTTACGGTCATTATTTGTTTTGAATACCTTAGGAAGTGAAACACTTGTTATGAATACCATTATTAGCCCTTATTTTTTTGTATTACTTTTATTATAAATAAAATCTTTCATTACATGTAAGCATGTAATATTGCTTGACTTGCAACCCATCCAAAAATGGATTAGGTACAAAATATTCAACATTTTGACCCATTTAATTTAATTTGAAATTTAATCCAAAGACTTTTCAAAAAAAAAAAAAAAAAATGAAAATTCTCTTTTAGACGGTTGTTTCTTCATGTTGTTAATGGATGATTAAATACAAATTCCCTCTCCTTCTCTCTCTCGTGAATTCTCTTTCTCTCTCATGGTTTCTGCGCTTATCATTCCAATCTCACATTCCACTCCCTCGATCTTCATCACCATTTTCTAGGGTTTCAATTTCTTCGCCATTGAAGACCCCAACCTAAAGCTTCAATTCAATTCAATTTCAAATTCAAATTCAAATTCTTCCGCATTTCATCGATTCTGAAGCTGTAATTTGCCGACATTGTGCTCGTTTTCCGTCGAAAATTGACGGTGTTTTTTGGTCTGATGAATCGGCGGCGATGAGGTGAAAGAGGAGAGAGAAATGGAGGTTAGATCGGACGGTTTACAGGCGGTGAGGTATGATAAGGTTCCGGTGGGACCAATGTTTGAGAGAACTAGGTTAAAAGTTTGGTTTATTAGGGTTTGTTCCAGCATTTTGTTGTGGACTATTTTGGTGCAGCTTGTTGCCTTTGGCGAACTATGGAATCCTCATTTCTTCGCTGGTTTTTCCCATAGATTATCGCATGTTTCTACTTTTTCGCCTAATGCTCCTCCTCCACCTCCTCTCTTACCTCTAAGTGAGTTCAATCTTCTTTTTCGAACTTTTCGAACTTTTATTTTTAATCTGTTATGAATTCTACAATATTTGTTAAATTGGATGGTTTGCTTGATGTTATTATGCTTGAAATTTGTATATGTTGGCTAATTTCCGGGCAATGGGCGCGATGCTAGTTATTTTTACTGTCGAAACTTGAAAATGATTGTGGATGGTATCGTATTTTTCGAGTGGTGGAGCATCCTGGATGTGTGGTTTATGGTTTAGGTAGGAATTTGAGTTTGCATTGCAATTTTACCTGCCGAGGAATTGGAGACTTATGCCTCGGGTTAGGAAGGAGGGGAGGGGGTTGTGCAGAGTGCGCAGAGTCATCAGAATTGAACGTATTTGTTTCATTAAAGGTAGTTTAATCATTAATTTGATGGCTGAAGAGAAATGGAAAATTTTTACTCCGCACTCTGGCTGTGATTAATGTTAATAGAACACCATGTCTCTGATACTGGGGTTGAGGTATCGTTCCCCATACCTGTAACAAAGGCACTTTAAGAATTATCCTGGGTGGGTTCATTGGAGTAGCCTTGGGCCTCAGAAGTTAGTAGGTTTTTCGATAATGGGTTCTAATCATTATTTCTTACAGTGTGTGTTATTACCGCTATGTACTAAGGACTCTAGAATATAGTGTAGAAATGTGTAATTCCCCTTGCTTTAGGGTTCTCAGATTGATCAATATTTGAAGTGTTACAGAGTTCCTAATACGGATACAACGTATAATGGAAAGGCTAATATTTACAAGATATGATCAAATCTAGAATGATGGTTACATATTCTTTATGATTTATTGATTTCACAATTAGCTTCAACAAAAGTAGGGGACAAGCTAGATTATCTATATCTTCTTTTAATTTCGTTTAGATTCTCCTTTTATCCTCAAAAGCATCGTCAAATTTTTCTATATTTAGGGTTATATTCATAGTTCTTCATCAAGGGAAGATGTGGGCAATGTACTTTTCTCCTGTTGAGATAAGTATATTTATAGAAATAGTAACAAAAGATCATCTGCTGAACCTTTTTGCATTGATATCTGAGATCATTGCTTTGACTAGGGAATTATTTTTTCAAAATTTGTGGCACAAGACCAAGGGCAAGAATAGAAACATTAGTATCACTGCCACGTACAAATTTTGTTTGTGGATGGCAGTGGTATTTGGTGTGACTTGTTTGTCCTACAAGCTAGTTTAAATCCTTTTTCTATGACAATTTACATTTAAGCAGATATGTTCTGGAATTTTTTTGTTTAGAGGTGCAATTCTGTTTATCTCTTTGCTTCAATAGATTAAAAAAATCTGTCTTAAAAATGTCGTAGCATTGAGTTTGTTATATGCTTGTATTGATTTTGTAATTCATTGCATCTATTATTGAATCTTGTGTCAACAGCATGATTTGTAATGAATTGCATTCTGGCATCAAATTTTATCTTGCTTTTGAAACTTATCAAATTTTACCTTACTTTATGACTCATGGGCCTGCTTTGTAAGTTTTTTCTTTGACTGGTAGAGTCTCTTTTCTCATGTAGAAAATAAAGATGTTGAAAGGGTTCAATTAGCTGATCAATTTTGTATTTACTTGCAGGAAACTACACAAGTAATGGTTATCTAAGAGTAACATGTAATGGAGGTTTGAATCAAATGCGTGCTGCGGTTTGTGTTCTTGTTCTTAGTTTTTTGTTAGCTTACTCATCTTCACTTCATAAGTTGTCATCTACTCATCTTAGGCTTCTTGCATTTCAGATATGTGACATGGTGACAGTTGCTCGTTTCTTAAATCTCACTTTGGTTGTCCCAGAGCTTGATAAGACATCCTTCTGGGCAGACACAAGGTATAACTTGTTCGGTGGGGTAAAGTATATCTCTTTGACGTAATTTTGTATAATCCTAATCCCTTTAAATCTTATTGCAGTGATTTTGAGGACATCTTTGATGTGAAACATTTCATTGATTCCCTGAGGGATGAGGTTCGGATAATTAGGAGGTTACCAAAGAGATATAATAGGAAGCATGGTTTCCGGCCACTGGTTATGCAACCAATTAGCTGGTCCAGTGATAAATATTATTTCCAACAGGTTTGTTCCTTCACTTAAAAAAACATTTCAAGGATGATTTGTGGATTACATAGGAGATGGGATTTTCATGTTAATATTTTGTTGACATGGAAGTGATGGAATCCAAATAAAAGGTGATTTCTGTAGCAATGTATGTCTTGATAGATCGTTTAGTTGTCATGGACTTTGAGTGCTTCATTATGCAAATTTATGTTTTCACAAATCTGTTGAGCATGATGAAATGGTAATTGTTGGTTATATGTACCTTTAAATTTTTTTCTTTGTGCTTAGGGCATTTTGATGATTTGGCTCAAGTGTTCTAGCTTTGTAGATTCCTTTAATTAGTGCCTTAATGCTTGAAGGCTAAAATTGTTTATGAAAAAAGAACTTGGAATCGTTAGTAACATTCTCAACTCAATTGGATGTATTTCTATGACTTGGATTGTTATTTGGCAGTTTGAAATGCCAGTAAGAGGAAATCGAAGGGTGTCTAATTTTTACTTGCCTTGAAAGTGATACTTTATCTGTCATTATGTTGGTTGAAGCTTGTTAATCTGCTTGTTTGACCATGTCTTTCTTCTGATAGCCTTAATGGTGACTTCATAGTTCAAACATACTGTCCATGCTAGTGGGCTGTTTAGTGGGTTGATGAAAATGTATGCTTTTTGCTGAAGAAAAAAGTAGTTTTCTTTTTTGTTGGTTTTTTTTCAACATCTCTTTCTATTGATACATTTCTCTTCTCACCTGATGGGCATTATGCAGGTTCTGCCTCTTTTTGAGAAGCATAAAGTGATACATTTTAATAAAACGGATGCACGTTTAGCGAACAATGGACTTCCCCTTGAATTTCAGAGACTCAGGTGCCGTGTTAATTTTAAGGCTCTAAAATTCACTCCTGAGATTGAGGCGCTGGGATACAAGCTGATCCGTCTACTTCAAGCAAAGGGGCCTTTTGTTGCTTTGCATCTGAGATATGAGATGGACATGCTGGCTTTCTCTGGTTGTAACCATGGCTGCACTGAGGAGGAAGCTGAGGAACTTAAGCAGATGAGGTTGGTTTGCTGACATTCTAATAAAATTTCCTGCAAAGAATGTTTGCCTTTTATTAAATGGTATGATGTGTGTGAAAGACTTGTTTTAGTTGTGGTAAATAGAATAAGATTTTGGTTTAGTCATCCCTGAGCTTTTGAGCTGTCTTATTGGTTGCCAACGATTGTCTTTGCTTGAATATTGAATCTGGTGTGCTCTTTTAAGTTTGAAGTTGCCAATTGGGTTTAAGATTTTCTATCCACAGTATTCAATTACAAGAATGCATTCAGCTTTAGATGTGTTAAAAAAGCCTGACTTTTGTGATTAACAGCTTATAGCCACCTTGCCCTGACCATACCCATGCAAAGCCATGGGTTTTATATAATGTTTTTATTATATAGTGTATTGATTGTAGTCATTATACTCTAATCAAGAAAACCCTACTTTCTCTCTCTGCATGATATAAGATTAGACTACACCTACTTTTTATTTATTTATTTTCTTTTAATCAACATAACTTCATTACACTCTAAACACTTGCGAGAGATGTGTTTGGAGTTTAAAGAATTATTTTTTAAATAACAGGATTAAATTAATGTGTTCAAAAGTAGGTTAAAATTTACCAAAATCTAGACTTTAAAAATGGGCGTGTAAGGTGGATCTTGGGTGGATAAGGTGGGTATTTGGGGGGTGTGAGTGCCAAGTGGGTGGTGGAGCAGGGATGGTTTTGAATTTTGTACCTACCCTAGGCGATGGGACTGGGATGAGGATGGAAATTTTAAGCAAGGATGGGGAGGGGGTGAACATCATTTGCATCCATGCTGCCCATTGACATTCCTACTAACTCACATTCTCATCAACTTCTTCATTTTTTATTGTCTTACAAAAATAGTTAACTCGCCATCCATACCCCCCCCCCCTTCTAACTCCCTTTTCTTCCTCTTTGGCAACTGACGTACAGCTCCTATTTCTGTTCGAGGTCAGGCTTCCCTCCATCCAATTCAAGAAGGATATTCTTCTACTTCTTGGTGTCACAAAGTGCCCATAGGATTTAGAGGTAGAGGCTGGTAAGGGCACTTAAACTTATCAACTTCAAGGATGTCAAGAACTCAAGATTCTCATCATAAAGTCTGATGATTTTTGTGGAGGGATGTAAACCATTGGGCCTGGTGTTGTTTTGAGCCTTGTCAATGGTTCAGCTGCCAATGAAACGAAGGATGGATTACGTTGAGAGATTCCGCCATTGATGGAAATGGTGTGAGAATGAGTGTAGAATTGATACCCTAAGTTTCAGTGGCAGGTGGTGGTTGTGCTGGGGAAGTGGAGAAGTATAGTGGGAGAGAGGGGCCAGAGGGGAGAATAGAGTAAAAACATTGGGGTCAAATTTGAAATTTAGGGCAAAATCTTCGGACTTGAGATTTAACTTGTCGAAATATCCTAATTTTTTTTCGTATTTTCTTTAGGCATGTTGTGTGTCATTCACCTTTAATATATAGTTATACTACCTCCGTTTCATATTTTTTGCAACTTTCGGTTATTATTTGTGAGATATAAAATATTCCAAAGTTGCAAAAAATATGAAATGGAGGTAGTATATTGTATGAAAGCTTGATATGTCAATTGTTCTGTTATTTTCTTTTGCCTGATATGAGGAGAGAGAGGGGCCAGAGGGGAGGGAATGAGGAGAATAGAGTAAAAACAATGCAGCCAAATTTGAAATTTATATGGGCAAAATCTTCGGATTTGGCATTTGATTTGTCGAAATATCCTAATTTTTTCTCCTATTTTCTTTAGGCATGTTGTGTGTCATTCATCTTAAATATAGAGTTCATATATTGTATGAAAGCTTGATATGTCAATTGTTCTGTTATTTTCTTGTGTCTGATATGAGATCTTGTCATTCTTGTATGCTCTCTCCCCTTCGACGGAATCTTTTGCTTTAGTGCGAAAAATAATTTAATCCTGCTTTGAAAAGTTATGTAGTCATTCTTGTGCACCTGTTATATTTTCTGAATTCTCTGATGTGATCTGGTATTCCTGTATGAAGAAATTTATTTAGCTTCTGTTGAAATATGCATTTTATTTAGGTATGCATACCCGTGGTGGAGGGATAAGGAGATCAATTCTGAAGAGAAGAGGGCTCAAGGTTTATGTCCTCTTACGCCAGAGGAGACTGCTTTAATTCTTCAGTCGCTGGGTTTTGATAAGACTACCCAGATCTATATTGCCTCTGGAGAAATTTATGGAAGTGAAAGAAGACTTGCAGCTTTACGGGCTGCATTTCCTAATACGGTTAGTGACAATAAATTGTTGTCGAACACTGCTTAATTTTGCAATCTGCTACCTTGTCTGATTTGGCAGACAGCTGCTTTATATTCTGATTTTCTTTTGGCTTTCTGGTACTTGTCTGATGTGATATATAATTTCCTCCTTTGTTTCCAAAATATTGTGAGTGATATATTTTGGTGATCGTTTGTTGGGTCCTCTCTTTGTCGGGTCCTCCGTTTATTGGGTGGGGGTTGAAGTGCTTAATAGGGTGTAATGCAATATGTTTAACTTTTTGTGTCCCGTTGACAGGGCTTTTGGACTTCGTAGATTACATAGCTTTATGACTATGGGACCATTCTAATACAACTTATTGAGCTTTGACTTGATTTTTTTCCGAAAATTATTGTTATGTGTATGGCTCTTTATTTTTTTTCCATAAATTATTGTAATGTGTATGGCTCATTGGCCTGGAAAGAGATGTATGGCTCATTAGCTTCGAAAGTGATGCATTAGGTGTATGTAAGCTTATAGCTTAATATGATAGTGTCAATTGTGGAATGTGCTGATCTGTTGTTTGCGTTCCAGTCTGACGTATATCTCTGTTTCACAACTGCACTTGGCTTTGCTCACTACATTCATGCTCATCATCATGATTGACAATCTGTAAATTATTGTAATGTGTATGGCTCATTGGCTTGGAAAGAGATGTATGGCTCATTAGCTTCGAAAGTGATGCATTAGGTGTATGTAAGCTTATAGCTTAATATGATAGTGTCAATTGTGGAATGTGCTGATCTGTTGTTTGCGTTCCAGTCTGACGTATATCTCTGTTCACAACTGCACTTGGCTTTGCTCACTACATTCATGCTCATCATCATGATTGACAATCTGTAACTTAATTCCTGCACTTGTAGTTCTTAAATCTACTATCTTGGCCACTGTGAGTGGTACTATAGCTGATGTTGGTTGCAACACCAGGAAATGCCAAGGATTTCAACGTTGTCCTTGGTTTTTGCTTGGGCACGAAGATGAAGTTGAGATTTGTTGAATATATTTGAATATATAAGGGTGTAGTATCACTGCTATCTGTTAAATTGCTTTACTTGCTAGGCATGACCTGAATGTCTGAAAGCAATGTGTTTCAGTACTTGACTTGACTCATCCAATGAGTTTGTGCGCAATATTCACCTACTCTATATGATTGCAGATTAAGAAGGATATGCTGCTTGATCCAGATGATTTAAGGCAATTCCGGAATCATTCTTCTCAAATGGCAGCCTTAGATTTTATGGTTTCAGTTGCTAGTAATACATTTCTTCCAACGTATGATGGAAACATGGCAAGGCTAGTTGAAGGTCATCGCAGGTATCTATCATACTTCTCTTGGGGATTGAACTTGCTTAAAAATGAAATGAATATTGAATGAAGCTATATGAACAAAGTGGGAGTTTCTCCTATTCACTTTTTGAAGTAATGGAGGATTTCATTCACACTAATTACTTTAATAATGATGCTGACTATGAATAACCAATTTATTTCAGGTATCTCGGTTTCAAGAAAACCATTTTATTGTATCGAAAGAGGCTTGTTGAATTAATTGATTTACGTCAGAATGGGACTTTATCATGGGGCAGTTTTGTTGTTGCTGTTAACGAGGCGCATGTAAACAGATCAGGACAACCTGTATTGAGGAATGTTATTCCTGATAGACCAAAAGAGGAGGATTATTTTTATGCTAATCCGCTGGAGTGCCTGTGCAAAGATTTACATTGCAATGACGTAATAGCAGCCAGTAACACAAGTGTTTTACATCGAGGTTTCAATTGACAAGTTTGATACTTAGAGCTAATTTGTCTATAATCAAGTGATCACGGGTAAGTCCTTGAAAGAATTTGGTCTGCTTATCCTGAAAGGTTTGCGCGGCCATGAATACGGATGCAAAGATATCTTGTGAATAGTCAAGGGAAGTGGAAGGTGAACATGAGTTCTCGTTTGTACTTGCAGTCTGCTTAAAGCTGATTTAGGTACCAGAGTATAATGATGCTTTGTGCTCAAGGTTGAGTATTAGTCTCTTAGCAAATTTAAAAATTAGTAGGTTGCCTCAATAGGTTACTATAGTTTAATCGTGATTGACTTGGTACATTTCTGCCATGAGTTTAGGAGAGATTGTTTATGATGAAGAGTGATAAGTAGGTATAAACTGATATCATCCTGCAAAAGCAGCAGTTTGGTTCTTTTCTGCCTTTTTTACCATAGCTTTCAGCAGAGCATTGGAATTTTCGACTTCTATTTTCTTTTCTCCCTAACTTGTAAAGTGTAATTCATTTTTCACCTGAATCAAACTCCATAAAAGTTAATATAAGTTATGAAATGTAAGTTTCTCCTTGACTCTGTAGTATAATACGAAGTATTTTGTCCGTGTAAACTCTGCATTGAATGTGATCATACTAGTAGCACTTTTGCCATGAATCAACTTTGAAAATGATCTTCAAAGGGGAGGTTAAACTGGTACTCTCTGTGTTTATGTCAAAGACATGTTCAAGGTATCGAGTGTAATTAGGTCAATTTTTATAAAGTGTGATTAGGTCATGGACACAAGTTCATGATTCTCGATGTGCTCTAAAAGATCACAACTTCATAAGTTCCTATCAGTAAGATTAACATGGGCACATTGAAGGTTAAAGTTCATTTTACTGTCGTCAAAAAGTGTACGTCAATTGCTCAATTCAGGGTGTTTAAGTATAGTTTGTGTTATATTATCATAAGGTAAGGTTCATCATAAAAGCCTCCTTTTTAGCACCAAAAAAAATAAAAGCCTCCTTTTTTAGGAGATGACCAATAGCTAGACCTAAACATTATTAAAAAAAAAGGGAAAAGAACATAAAATAACATAAAGAAGGGAGAAGGGTGGTTGGTACTGTCTCGTATTTTTTACTGCCGCTTCCAGTGGTAACAATTATACGGAGTAGCAAAATATTCAGCACTATAGTTTCCATAATCATAGGAGAAATCCGATAAAATGAATAAAAGCTTAATGATTTTAACAAAGCTATTCGAGTTAATAGGAGGCAGTCTTGTGTGACTACAGCACCATACTGTCGAATATCTCCGTACTAACTGGAGTATGTTGGTTTAACCCTCAGATGCATGTTTAATGTAGTGGATCAACTTGCCTAAACATTAAGTGATAAGAGAAAATTTCAAGTCAAATTCCATGCACCATACGCTGTAATTATATCCCATAGTTGATCTGCAAGATACACAATGGGAGATGCTATAGCATTCAATTTCTTCATATACAATTTCAGGCAAGTGATTTTCTCTAGTAGCCATTATAAAAAAACTGCGAATGAGTTTTCATTGGCTGCATTTCGTACAATCAACTAATATAACTACACCTCTCCTATCCAAGGGAGTTTCTCTCCCTGTGCCCCGGCAAGACCTAGATCCTTCAGCCTCCTCTCTTGGTAGTATTCAAAGCCACCCAATTCCGTCTCTCTTTCTTTGAAAACCTCATCAATCTGTTGCAACACCTTCTTTTCCCCCAATCTTATCGTGATAGCAATCTCAAGCCTCGGATCTAAATCCCCTTGTGCCAACAACTTTTCATCCTACACCAAGCATGAATTATTGTTATTGTGGCATAATTAAAGAGAGGTCAATTATAGAGACACACTAAAACTGAATAAAAATAATGGAATTCGATCTGAACTGGGACAAACTAACCTCTTCGATGGTGGTACTGTAACCAGATAGAGCAGATGTACAAGCATTGCGAATCACTTGGCATATGAGCTCCTCATTAGCAGGGCTTACAGGAAGATCAAGATGGCCCCATATAGAGTTCCTGAATATAGACTCAAGGAGAAAAGCATCATCTCCACCAAGTGCCAGAAGCCTCAGATATGGGAGCATAATAGCTGGAAGAGGCTGATCTAAAACAATATCAAAGTAGGCAGTTTCTCCTATGCCATTTGACTCAGCTATGTCTAGCTTGTCCGCAAAAAAAGGGTCGGACTCAGGTATCTCCAGTGTCAAAGTGTATGCATTTCGTTCTGACCTAGATTCAGTGAACCCATAATCCAAGGCTAATTCAGCATTGCTCTTGTTCAAATCATATTGGATCAATACCTGTAGAAAAAAACTGTTGATTATGATGCAACCATGGAATGTGTTTGGAGTAGTAATTAATACAAGCAGAAGGAAATAAGCACTTTGAGTATTGAATGAACTTTAGAATTCATTATCCAACTTAGATTTTAAGTAACGTGGGGGTCGTGGGCCTTTATAATAGGTACTAGATGAAGCCCGTGCGATGCACGGTTTATTTGTATTTCTTAAAACAAATATTTTTTTGTATTTGCGTGATAAAATTTGTTATTTTATTCGTTGTATGTAGTATATCATTTAATATTTTATTTTAAAATAAATTGTGAATTTCCGGTCAAACAGATAAAGTTACTAATTTCAAAAGATAATATATTATATTTCATTAATTTAAACTTTAAAATTTCATTTGCCAATTTTGCTTATGTGGCATTTGAATTATTTAATTCTAAAAGAATTTACAAATCTCTTATTTGATTGGCTATCACTCAAATTTATTATCTTACATGTCGCGTTAAGAAAATTTTGTCCTATGTGGCTTTCTAAAAACTCGGGAAAAAACTCCCCTTTATATATATATATATATATATATATATATATATATATATATATATATATATATATATTAGATTTGACATTGAAATAAGCACATACTTCAATTTAAATTAGAGAGCGAAAAATTACCTGACCACCAGCCTTCACTTGGATGGGATTCCTAAGTGAAAATAGAAGTTCTCTAGAGAACAGACCAGCTCCCTTGACTTCCCAGGCATAATCTTGTGCTGTTATATCAGGACTGTGATTGATCTGTTGCACCCATTTCTACATGTTAGGTTTATAAAACTTTCCAACTAAAAGTTACTACAGATATCCTCAATGTTGTACTCCGTAATGATGCATATATCAGCCATTTGTCATATCCAAGGGCCAAAGAATATTGATCATGCATTATATATATCATAAAATAAATATTTGAAAATTTCATTCCCAAATTATGTAATTTAGGGAGAATAAAAGAGAGAATTTACCAAATCAGCCATGGGGATTAGAACAAGACTTTGGCCCTCGAGGCGAGTGAATGCTCTTGATCTTAGCATTCCAAATGCCCAAAGAAAGTCATCTAGTGTTATATCGAAAGGGAATAATCGCTTGTTGGGAACTATTACTTCTTCTTCCAATTTTGCAAACTCATTTGCTACTAACTCCTTCACACCCAATGTCGTGTTCAGCAACTGGCTACCTACAAGGATGTTACAGATGACATTATGGTAGGCAGATCAGAAATTGTCGTCAAAAGAAACTCTTCAATGTCCACATGTATACATTTGATCTATTGAACAGGATAAATAGGCGGTGTTTCGGCTCAATAACCAATTTCCAAATAAAACAAACCTCCATACTAAATTTAAAATAGCATATATACTATTCAACACTCTTCATTCCAACACAAGATATAAATGTACCACTCTCAATTCTTGAACAGACTAATACAATGCTGTGTATGACACTTAAATTAGTTTGAGATAGATAAAGTCCCTCCTACTTCCTAACTTCAGGTGATAACAAGAAGCAATATGAAGTGCCATGAAAGAAGTGATTTGAGAAACTTTACCTAGTAGCCACAGAGACGGTCCAGCAAATCATGGAACTACTATATCAATTTGACATCAATACTAGAAAATTGATGGTTTGAATGGAAACATGGATAAAAGTTTCAACATAGACCTGGGTGTGAATTTTTTAGATGTACAGAGATATGCCACGATTCTTGTCATACTAGTAATGACAAGAATCGAAGAACTAGATATAACCCCAAATTGTATCTATCTTTGTTTAACAAAGTTTCATGCATTCAGAATAAAACCTCTTAAGAAGGGCAAATGAAATAATGCAAATATATGATACATCACCTCCCTCTCGCGAGAAGCGTGTGAGCCTTGTTATAGAATCATGTGGGAGCTAGCATTTAATTCAGATTTTCTAACACCATAATTTCAACATGAATTCAAAATAGAAAAATGATGATACCCCCTCGTACCAAAATCATTCTCACCGTGATATCACAATCAAATTAGTAATGCGACAACTGATTCCGAACAGAGGTAGTAAATACTCCCATCTTCCGAATAACATTTTCACCATGATAGTGCAACTGATTAGTAATGTGACAACTAAATACGAACAATTAATGAATAATTTCAAAGTAGAACAATCACAAAAAAGAAAATCTGAACTAACCTTGAAGCTTAGAGAGTTCCTCTTCTGACCTGCTCTGCAAAATAACAACCAAAACTTCATTTAGCTTAAACCCATCTTATACCCACCAATTAAACCACTACAAATGCCAAAATTTAATTAAAAAAACCATTCAAAATAACCAAAAAGCATACCAATAAATTGTAGAATTAGTAGAATCAGGCAAAATATCAATGTAAGGCTTCCAAGCAGAAGAATCACCCAATTTTTTCTCTCTCATCAAAAACAAAGCAACAGAAACCCAAGGCTTAAGCCCATTACAAACTGACCCAATTTCTGAAGCTGCAACTGTATCTGGGTTTATCCAAAACTTCTTGGAAACCTCCAAAACGACCTCGTTTCTGGCTATATCTTTTTGGGCAACTAGTCCTAATCCTTCTGTAACAATCCCTGGTTTTACAGGGCATTTTGCAGAGACTATACCTTTGTCGGAGAGCCAACCCCAGAATTTTTTAAGCTCCGGTGGCGTGTCGGTTTCCGGTGGCCGGAAACATCTGATTGAGAGAGGATTTCTGAGAGTGGGAAAATGGGGCTTTGAGTTAAGGGTGGTTTTGAAAGGGGTGAAGAAGGAAGATTTTGATGAAGGAGTTAGAGTGAATAAAGTTGCCATTTTAGCTTACTCACCTTGAGAATAGGAAGGAAATCTAAATCCCAATCCAAAGGTTGTAGATGAGTTGATGACTAGTGTCGCCACATATTTATTCATTGATCTTGTTTGACTGATTCGATAATTTTCACGGTTTGACTTTTTCATTATTTGTAGTTTTACTTTTATTTTTACTAAATATATTTTCATTTGCAATAATAGACATACTCCGTATTAATCTGAGATATATTCAGATAAGGGTGTAAATGAGCTAATGTATTCACGAACTACTCACAAACAAGCTCAATCAATAGCCAATATAAAACTTTTGACTAGAAAAATAGTGGTTGATTTCATTTATAAATTTGTTCAAGCCTGATTATAACATGATAAACTCTTAGTGCTCGTTTGGTTCACATGGGAATTAACTTTCGATGGGAATTTATATTTCATGGGAAATTTTCTACCTTATGATTTTCCTAGGAATTAAGCTAACTTGTTTGGTTGACACTATTAGAAATTGCATTTCCAATGAAATTTAACTCACCAAGGGGGGAGGTGGTGAGTAATTTCCCATGGGTTGTAGGAATTTGTATTTTCTTTGAAATTGCTATTTCCCATGTTTAGTTTATTTCCCTCCAACCAAATACACCTTCATTTTAATACTTCCTAGAAAATTTCATTTCCAAGGAAATTATCTTCCAACCAAACAACACCTTAAAGGATCAAACTCGAACAACATTTTTAAAAGATCATTCAAGCTCGAGATGGCTCGATGCTCAAACACTAAAAGTATTCTTATCAAGCTTTAAATCTAACAAACTAAGACTCGGCTATAATATCAGCTTAGTCAAGTGAAATTTCGTTAGATTCTTTTCAATTCGTATGCAATCTAAATATTTATAATTTGATTTGATTTTAACAAAGAATAATTAACAAGTTTTTAAAATAAGTTGAAGAGGACAAGTCTTACGTGAGTACGTGACATTGTCTTCCCTACACTCACCGACTTTCTAATGCTTTGTTACGTCGTACTTGTAACCAAATCCATATTCAATCATCTTCGACTTTGGTCGCAAATTTTCAAATTATTAACATTAATACTTACAAACCGACACCCTAATCTGGATGTTGCAAACTTAAGAAATGTGGCAGTTTATTTACGCCTTTTTAGTTATTTTGTCAAGATGATAATATCAGCAAAAGAACCACTCTTACTATTAGAAATGAATTGACAATACAATAGAGCAGGGCTGGCAAATTAGATAACCGGAAAGGAATTGTGTGGTTGTTGCATGCATAATCGTGGTGAAGGCTGTACGAGCACTTGATTGGATGGTGTACATCTGCAGGAAGAAAATTGCTAGAAATAGGCACCGTAGCATTGATCTCCAGCAGTGGCTATTTATCTGGCTGGAAAGAGTGTACGTAACAGAGGATCCCTCATGTGTATTCGGAAAAAAATGATTCGAGTTGAATGCAGACATCACAAGATGAGAACTTCATCAATTGATGTATTCTTCTTTGAACATGAAGTGTTTGCCTTTGAACGACAAGATAGCTTATGTAATCTTAAGAGATAATTCAAAAGTGGGTTTCCGATCAATGGAAAAAATTTGGATTAATCTCAGTAAGACCACTCTCAATGGTGAGCAAAAAAAAATGTCCACCCACTATCTCTCTACCCACTTTCTCTCTCAACAAATCTGTTTTTCCCATGGGTAAATTTTTTTCACAATTTCTCTCCTAATGGTGAGCAAAAAAAAAAATGCTTGCCCACTACTCTCTCTCTCTTACTTTTTCAATACCCCACTATTACTTTCTCTCTCCTACACAACACTTCTTTATTTATTAATTTCATTTATATTTTAACAATATTACTCCAAATAAATAAAAAACTAGTCTAAATTTGTGTAATTTTTTTTTTTATTTGTGTCGTTTTTATCGTTAAAATAAAGAATATGGAGGATTTATGGTATTTCTGAAATTACACCAAAATATACCAAAATGCATGTCTATTTATAGAGAATTAAATTTTATGACCGTTGGTAATTTTAATTTTTTTTTTTAATAAATATTTATTTCAGAATTTGCGTTACAAAAAAATATAACTATTGCAAATTGTGGGGTCCACCAGAGCACTATTCATCTTCAAAAATGCTCAAGTCTTAGGCATTTTCAGAAATGCTCATGAGCATTTTTTAGCTTTTTCTCATTTGCTCACCATTGTAATGCATGAGCAAATTTTATGCCCACCCAAAATGCCCATGAGCAAATTTTTAGCTCACCATTGGTAGTGCTCTAACGAAGGTGGGAGATCGCTTTCTTTTTAATTGTACTGATAAAAGGGACATGTATGCCTTAATCAACCTGGGACAGCCACATATCAGACCGCTCTTCTTGTCTTCAAGCCGTGGAACCCGGGTAGTTCAATTAAAGACATCGTGTTCGACCACACAACCTTGTGGGTTCGTTTGGACGACTTGTCGTTAAACTTACGTGAGTTACGTCTTATTGAGCTATTTCTTGAGAAATTGGGACGAATTGATTGCTTAGAAGTTCTTTTCCCTTTTGCTGGCATTATTTGTTCAATTAGAGCAAAGTTGAGTATTCCTATTTTAAAGCCTTTACCTCCAGGATTCTTCCTTGTTCAAATGGATACTAAACCTAAGTGGATGAACTTTAAAGTTGAGAATGTGTTTATATTTGCTCTTCTTGTGGGAAAATTGGCCATAAGAAAATGAATTGTAGAGCATCTCCAAGATTGATTAAGGCCTCGCTTAATTGTATTGGTGATTTATGTGAAATTAGTGAAGGCCTGAGTCCTAAACTATCAAATAAGAACATTGGCCTTGACAGGATTGAGAAATTCAGGTCTTCTAGACTGAATCTCTTCAAAGCCTTTAAACCTCTTCACCAATGTAACAAAAGGAGGCATTCTACTTGCTCTCCAAGGCACTTCCCCACTTTAAGGGCAGAGCATCCGTCAAATAGTAGTCTGCACCCTCTAGTGCCCAACCAACCTGAACCAACAAAACTAAAATTTTATGCCTCTCCACCATCCATGACCTGAATACCTATTCCAAATACTGTCAACCTCGTATCAATCCTTAAATTTCATCATTTAAACAAATTCTTGCTAAGAAAACGTGAACCACCTGATCCTAGCTATCCAAAAAACCAAAAAAAATCGAGATCAAATGTTGGTGTTCTCCCGGCTTTACAACTAGAACATTCAGGTTATGAAGCCAAACTATCTTCTGGGGCCTTTGTTGTCTCGTCTCTGGTTGATTTTTCTTCTTCTACCATTATGGTCACTAGTTCGACAAGTATTATTGGTGTGGTGGATATACCTAAGTTAGAGTCTTCTAATGGTGCGGGATTTGATGAAGCACTCCCTATGGATTGTACTCCATCCTCATCGCCTCCTTATCTGGATATATTGGTGACCGATTCTCTCTCTTCTAGGCACTGTGCTAGTGTAAGAAGCTTTGCTAAGAAGGCTAAAAGTCAGTTCTGGTAAACTTATGGGTAAAGGATAAGGAAAAGTTCGAAGTTGGTTCAAGAGTCGTTGTATAACTAAACAGGCAGGCGGTAAATTGGAACCCTCTGCTCTTCAGCTTTTCAGGGGAATCAGTCAAATAAGGCAGGTGGTTTTTCTTGTTTGATGTCGTGTAAGAAGCGCAAGGGTTTCTCAGTTTCAGTTTTTACTACTTCTTCTTCTGAGGGTTCGGTGGCCCCCCGTATTGGGCCACCCGGGTCGAGATGAAAGTTGGTGCTTGGAATTGTAGGGGTTTAGGACAAGCGGACACCCCTAAAATTCCTTATATTTTGTCGTAAGTCCGCTTTTATGGTTTAGATGTAGTTTTCCTCATGGAAACTATGCTTCCTGTGCATAGTGTTGCACAAAAGTTAGCATCTTTATCGTTTTCGGGTAGTTGTGGTATAGACGCGGTAGGCCTAAGTGGTGGTTTGTTTGTCTTTTGGCTTGCTCCGTTAGGATTGGTTCCTATGTTTATATCCCAAAATGTTATCCTTTGTAAATATGTTATGAGTGATGTAACAAAATATTATATGCTTGTGTATGGTGCACCGTATATTTCTAATAGGTTGGAAGTTTGGAATACGATTTCTGAGCTCATAGATGCTTATCCAAACGTGATTCTTCTAGGCGATTTTAATCAAGTTGAATATCTTTCGGATAAAGTAGGCGGTAATGCCTTGATTCCGGGTCAGTTGGACTTTACTCAATGGCGTTTGGATTCAGATCTTGTGGATATCCCGTTTTTAGGTCCACAATTTACCTGGACTAACAATAAAATTGATTCGGATTCGATCTTGGAACGTTTGGACAGAGCTTATGCTACTCCTTCTTGGCTTACTGATCATTCGGATGCCACTGTACTTCATCAACCTATTTTATTCTCGGATCATGCTGCCATTATTTTCCGGGATTCAATAGAGGATACTGGAGTTCAACGACCTTATCGGATTGAAAATTGGTGTTTATCGACAAAGGATGTACATTCTATAGTTGACTCTGTAGTTTCAATTGTTGTTGTTGGTTCTCCGATGTTTTCCCTGTCTCGCAGGTTATCTTTCATTAGAGATCGGTTGTTAGCTTGGTGTACTTCTCATAAACGATTGTGGGATATTGATTGGAAGTCTCTAGCCCTATCTATTGGTCAGGCAGCTTCTAGCTTGCATACTCGTATAGGTCGGTGTCTTTTTATCACTACGGGAGAGAAAAAGGTTGCAGAGGCTCAAGCTACTTTTATGTTTTGGCGTCAGCGTGCGAAAATTAATTAGGACGCGACTGGAGAAAGTCACTCTCGTCTCCTTTTTTCTTTAGTTCATTCTTGTCGATGTCGTAATAAAAATTCACACTTTGAACTCCTCTAATGGTTCTTGGGTTATTGATCCTGTGGGTATTAATCAGGGGTGTTCAAAAAAACCCGACCCGGTTGTTCCGTCCCGATTACCCGATGACCCGCAAAAACCCGATGGGAAATTGACAAATTTTTCTGGTTTTTTCGGGTCGGGAACCCGTCCCGCTAAAATAGCAGTTTCGTGGGCCGGGACATGGCTAATCTCGAGTACCCGTTAAAAAGAAAAAAAAAAAAAAAAGATCAAGCAATTGAAGATGCAAGAAAATATGTTGAAAATGCTAGAACAGAAGCAGAACAAGCTAAATTAGAAGCTGAACAAGGCAAAAAAAGAGGCGGAAAGCTGTTAAGAATGACGTGGACAGAAAAATTGCTGAGAACAATGCAGTTTGGGAGAAGAAGTTTAGGCAACTTCTGGATTTTCTTGGAGCAGGAAGTTCATCGGATACTGATATACCAAAGCTAACAACACCAAGTCAGCATGCTTATAGAGAACTTGCTTTACCAGAATACATAACTTGAAAATAAACTAAAAAATAAACAAATAGAAAGCACTGGACATAACAAGCAATTAAGTTATCCTAAGTCCTAATTGATTCTCACAAATCTTAGCATTGTGATAAATGGAAGATTTATAACTTGAAATAAGATATAAACTAGGTTTTATGTACAAACTTATTTTAAAAAAAAAAAATCCGGGTACCTGGGACGGGACACGGGCCGACTTATTAACTACCCGAAGATCCAGGTACCCGGATTTTCGGGTACCCGAATATCCGGGTACCCAGATATGAACACCCCTAGTATTAAGTCAATGGTGCTTTCGTTTTACAAGGATTTGTATACCATTCAGGATTCCTCTCCGGTATCAGAGTCTTCTTGGTGGGATTAGATTCATCTTCCTTCTCTTTCTTTAGACCAGCAAAAAGAGTTGTTAATCCCCTTTTCAGCTCTGCAAATTAAGGAGGCCATGTTTGGTATTGATGACAACAAACCTCCAGGTCCGGATGGTTTCTTTTCTGCTTTTTTCAAAGTTCATTGGTCGTTGGTCAATCCTTTTGTAGTTGGCGTAGTTCAGTACTTCCTTACTCATGGCTATATGTTAAAGGAGTGGAACCGTACTTTCTTGACTCTGCTTCCTAAGGTTGATAGCCCAGAGCTTGTCTCGCAATTTCGTCCTATTAGCCTTTGTAATGTACTTTACAAGTGCATCGCCAAATGTATTACTGGTCGGCTCCGTCCTCTTCTACCTTCTTTGGTTTCTGATTACCAGAATGCTTTTGCTCCAGGACGTCTTACGTCAGACTATGCTCTAATTGCCCATGACGTTTTCTCCTTCATGAATGCTTTAAGGGTGAAGAAATAGTTCTATGCTACTCTGAAATTAGACATGAATAAGGCCTATAATCGGCTTCGCTGGGATTTGTTACTCCATGTCTTACAGGTCTATGGCTTCCCTCCGTACTGGATTCATATTATTCATCAATGTGTCTATAGTCTCTTATCAAGTGTTGGTCAATGGGGATCCGTCTTCCACCTATTTCCCACAATGTGGTCTTCGGCAAGGTGATCCGCTTTCTTCCTATCTATTTGTGCTCTGTATGGAGGTTCTTTTTACCATGTTACGCAGTACGGAGGAGCATTCGTTATTCAAAGGCATTTGTATTTCGTGAGGAGCGCCTTCTATTCCGTCTGCTTGTGATAATCTGATGGCCCTTCTTTCGGATTTTTGCGGTTTGTCTGGTCAAATGATTAACTTGCAGAAATCCTTTGTTAAATTTAGTCGGAATATTCCTTCAGATTATCGAGATTATCTAGCTCGTAGTTTGCGGCTTCAAAGTCGGGATTCTCTAGGTTGCTACTTGGGCTTGTCGGTTGACTTGGGGAAGAGTAAGGTTTCAGAGTTTCGCTTCCTGGTGGATAAAATGTCAAAGCGTCTTTCTGATTACGCCTCCCTTCGGCTTTCTTCTGCGGCTATGTTGGTGATTATCAATTCAGTTATCGTTGCTTCGTTCAACCATATTTTGTCCGTGTTTCAAATTCCTTCATCGATCTGTCAGCATGTTGATCGAATGCTTGCTCGTTTCTGGTGGCGAACCTCTTCCTCGTCCCGGGGGATATCTCTTCGCTCTTCTCTCTACTTCATCTTCCTAAGGGTTTGGGCGGATTAGGGCTTCGTAGTTTGCAGAGTTGTAACTCGGCCCTACTTGCTAAGCAAAGTTGGCGCATATTTTGGCATCCTCAGCTTCTAGTTTCACGTGTGTTGTCGGCGAAATACTCTTCCCTTCAGTCCTTCTAGTCTCCTCGGATTTCGCGGCCTTCGTGGGGTTGTAGAAGTCTTCTGGCTAGTATGTCCACTTTAACTCAAGGGATTGCTTGGAAAGTAGGTTCGGGAACTCAAGTTCGTCTCCTCGAGGATGCATGTTTGTTTGGCCCCTTGGGGGCATGTTTCTTTCAAATCGGGCTTGAGTGAGTCGGAGGTTCCGACTCATGTTTCTTCTATCATTGATCCGCGTTCTTACGCGTGGGATACCTCTAAGGTTCATCGGCTCTTTGACAATATTACGGCTTTGCGTATTTTGTCTGCTGACTGCCCTCAGAAACTGATGGACGATTTTGTTTATTGGAAGTTTACTCGTGATGGTCAGTTTTCCACTAAATCGGCTTATGCAATGCTGATTCGCCAATCTATGGTGTTTGTGCCTAATGATCTGATACCGGCTTCGTGGTGGAAGCATTTTTGGGGAATGCCGATTATGTCTAAGTTAAGGATGTTTTGCTGGAAAATGCTTCATGATGCTTTACCTCTTTCCGCTACTTTGCATTCCCGGGGTCTTCCAGTAAATCTTGTCTGTGTCCTCTATCATGCTCACTTGGAGACGACTTCGCATCTATTTCGGGATTGTTTGGTTATTTCTCCTCTCTTGACCACTGGTCCCTTGGCACTCCAGCGTCCTTTGTCTATACACTCGTTTACTCAGTGGTTCATAGAGCTGGTCTCTGCTTATGGAAATTCTAGGAATTGGCATAGTCTAGCCATTGTGGTCTCTCTTTTGTGGGCGATTTGGCTTACTCGTAATCAAGTTATTTTTAATCAAGCAGTCTGGTCTCATGCTTCAGTTCTTCATATTTCTGAGAAGTGGACATTGCGTTGTTTGGAAGCTGCTAAGCTCTCTAGCTCTGTTTCGTGTTCTCGATGGCGTCAGTCTCCTTATCCTTCTCCTGTTACTTTTGGGTGTTTACATGGTTGATATTCCAGTCTCGCAGATTGTTGTATTGTCCTTGATGGTGCTTGGAATGGTCGCGATCATACTGCGGGAGCAGGTTGGATTTTCATGGAGAAGCTTTCCCTTACTGTTTTGGGTGGTGGAGCTCATGCCTGTCGGACTTCATCAGCTTTACAGGCGGAATCACAGGCTTGCTTCTAGGCTCCTCAGGCTGTTAGGCGAAAGGGTTTCTTGTGTCCCCTACTCTACATGGACAACACAGCTCTAGTTTCCATGCTATGTCATTCCTGCTCGGATGATATTTCTTGTGTTTGGCTGTTGGGGGCTATTAGAGACATTCTATTACAATTCGATTCATGCTGGATTCGTAAGGTCCCTCGTCTTTGGATTGCTCGTGCTCACTGGTTGGCTGTTCGTGCTCGTCAATGTCGTTTCCTTTTCTGGTCCTTTTAATTGTTATTCAGTTTGTTTTTTAGCTTCCTTAGTCGTCTTGTGTTTTCTTGTTTTAGTCAGTTCTTTAGCCCTCTTCTGCTATTTCGTTATATAAATTCTTTGTAAAAAAAAAAAGAAAAAAAAAATTCTTAAGAGAGAATTAAAGTGTGCTGTACTGAGGTGATTTGTGAGTTAAGGTGAGGTCACACCTTGCCTTGTACTGCATTCTTTGGTAACCAGTATTCACAATACAAGTTGAAGGTTGAATATGAGCAGAGCTGCAACTCGATCCTTGAGTTGTCATCAAATCAAATTTTTTAATTATTAAAAAAAAAAAAAAAAAAAAAAAAGTAAAAAAAGAGGGAGCCAATTTAAAATTCACGCATCTGCTAATGTACACTGACTACAATATCAGCTTAATCAGCTTGAGGAACAGAGAACATTAAATCAAGAAGATATTAATACATAGAAGCTTTAGTTGGAAGATTAATGCTAGCTAGTCATTTATGTAGTAATAGATAGATAAAATCATCTAATTAGCAATATGAGTAGCATTAGTTGCAAATTGAATTCATCTTATAAAGTGTATAATAAAAAGTCACAAGGCTATTCTATGATCTGATGTCAATCCAAATTCACATTCACCTTGAAGAATACAAAATAACATATCAATGATTTGGGAGGATATAAGCTTTGCTAGCTAATGCTAGATAACTACCATGCTAGTATAATTTTTCCGGGTAAACAGCAGAAAGTACATTTTTGAAAGTATGTTCATCAGAAGCACAGGAGTACAGGACAAAATAGAGCTGCAAGAAGAGCTAAGCCAACTTTCACCCCTACTTTAACCAGTTCTCTGTTATTCAACAGTGATTTGGTTATTCAACAGTAATTTGGTATCAGAGAATGTTCACTCCCACTATCTCAAAGGAAAGTCTAATCTTCTTTCAGGATGGAACTGGAGTATGTTTGGTTGTCAATGGGGCAGAGTGCCTCTAACCCAATGTTGGCAGATCTTTCCCATGCCCTTACCCCTTCATATCCTCTATTGACGGTTATTAGTCTTTAGTAACTTCAAGTATCTAGCATACTTAACCTTCACCATTAATTTGCATATCAGCTTTAGGGTTAGCATCAAAGACTCCTGGTGCCATAATGAAAACAAAGCACGACTAAAAGAGTGCTATGCCCTCCAGTCCTCCACCATATCATGGGTTATCAATGAACTCATCTATATCAATCAATCAAGAATCACTTGTAACCTCAGGAAGCATCGACACATACTACATATATCTTTGGCATGAACTCCTTCCATCTCAGAAAGACACCGCCAGTCTCTCCTGTTATTACATTGAAGGAACTTCGATATAGAATGCCTTTCTGAGAAAGTAAATCACCCACTATTGACTGACAGGTTTGATAAGTGCCATTGGAATGACAAATTAATGAGATAACTCTCATAAATAACACTGGGGGTGTCTACCATTCCAAGAATTAGAAAGGCAGGAAATAGTGATGATTAATAGACAAATACAACTTCCTATAGCTCATCATCAATGAATCTCAGACTTCTCACAAAGGAACAGCTGCTACGAGCAGACGAGAGACTTTAAGGCACAGAACTAGCTTCATACACAGATAAACACACGACATACCATTGAGGTAATCAAGTATTGACCCTAGCTACAATCCCCATATGGCAATGTTACATAAGTGAAGTGAATACAGTTGAAGCCATGTAAAACCTTGTCTCAAAATGTTAAGCTTAACAAGCAGCTCATAGAAATTGTAGTTAGAGGGTGAATGTTGGTTGATTATAATGATACTTGAACATGCGATCAATTCAACAGACCGGCATATGATTAATTTAACAAGGCATGTCTAAGTCTCCTAGAGGCACACAGGGTAGTTCGCTAAGCTCTTATAAAGGCCCCTAAAATATATGGTTGAGGTTCAGCCTTTTCTCATAAAGGCAAGATACAAAGGCACCGGAAGATTAGTATTTATGTAGCCTAATTGTTAAGCAAATAAGTCATAATAACCGAACATGATCGATCATAAGTATACACATACCATTCGTATTTCGCCATCCAAAGGTTCAATTTTGCAACAGTTCGATCAAAAAAGCAGCAAATAATCAAGTAAGCAAAACATATTGCATCAAAACACAGAATTTCAACTAATCCAAATAAAAAGAGGCGGGCAATCCGCCATATACATCAATTTTCGCAGTAGTTTCATGAATAATCACTGTCCACAAAACTGGACATCAAAATGTATTCTTCTTCACATGTCAAAATTATTAATTTAGCACCAAATCAAACTCTACAAAGTAGAAATATTTGATGCCACGTGATTGTATAACGCACAATTTCTTAAATTTTAACTTAATTTACCTCTATAACAGAAATTGCTTTCCTCCATTGTAATTAGAAACAAAATTCCCAATTTTGGCTACCAAAAAATTAGCAAAACCTCTAACACTAATTCTCCTTCTGAACCTCAATCTCTGCTCTCCCCTCGACCGCCTTCGAATCGGAACCTTGCTCGTCGCTCTTCGCCGCCGCCTCACGGTCCATTTCTTGCTTAACCTCCTCCTCAGCCGCTTTCTCCGCCCTCAAAATAGGTTCATAATAATCCGAATGAGCTATCATACAATTCTTCAAATTCCCAGTAACTTCAAAGCATTTCTCAACAATATCTTCCTGATTCTTCTCCGCATCTTCTACACACTTCTCCCAAGCTACAAACTCATCCTTACAACCTCCCCCTTTCATGAACAAGCAAAACCCACACTCCCCTTCTTCTTCCTCTTCTTCTTCTCCGCCATTCTCTCTCTCCTTTTCATCTAGATTGCTGGGTTGATCAGAGATTTCTGGGGTTTGATCTTCAAGGATTTTGGGATCTGGGTTTTGACTTTCGGAAGAATTGGGATCTGGGTTTTGCGGAATTGAGGGAGATGAGGACATGTTTGGAGCAGCGGGAGAATTGGGTGTAGTGGGGCTAGGGTTTTGAGATGAAGATAAAGCTGCTCCCATGGCTGAATTTGGGGGATTTTATAATAAAGAAAAACCCTTGCTAAACCCAGAACAAGAGGGAAATTGTTTGATGTGTGACTTTTCATTTTTCTGAGTATTGAATTTAATTATTTAAAGATCCACAAATAAAATTCTAAAATTTAATGTCTTGGGGAAAAAGTACCACGAGAAGTATGACCAAGTCATATACTCGCTCTGTCCACTAGTATCTGTAACATTTGTTATGAATGGATGCTCTCTATATGTGCAATAAATTTTTTTTCTTTCCTCTTTTAGTAAATTTTAAAGAATAAAAATATCACCTTACTCTTACTTTTATTTTTTAACTTTGTTTAACATCTTTTAATTACACTCAATTTTCTACCTTTTTCCCACTCAGTTTAACCCATCCAAAAACAAAAAAAATAAGGGACCACTTCTTTCCCTCCTTTTTCCCACTTAATTAAACCCACCCAAATTTAATTAAACTCCACTAAAAGTTTTGCCTAAGAGTCCGCAAAAAGGACGTTTGGTGCAGATAATCGTGGGCGGAGGGAGCATCACAAATATAAATTTTGTTTTTTTTTTTTTTTTTGGTTTTTTTTTTAAGATAAATTTGTAAGGAATATCTGGTTTTTTAAAATTGCAATTGTTCAATATTCATAAACTAAATTTGAAGCACATTTTACTACTCCCTCTATTTCTTTTGGTTAGTTACACTTTGACTAAATTTCTATTAGAAAAATATTCAAAATGTAAGCAATAATTAGAAAGGAGGGAGTAATATATTTTGTCTGAAAAAATAACGAGTGTTGTTATGAAAATGTTGAATTCGTCTCTATTCCATTCATTCCTTAAAGTTTGACTCACTTTGTATTTGCACGGTCTCCAATGAACATCTTTGACCCTAATAATTTCGGCTATGTATAAGTAAAATTTTTAAAAAGTTGATATTTAAAAATTTTGTCATAAGGGAAATCTAATAAGATCAAACTTGTTAATTTATTTTGATTACATAATCATAGAATATGGTCAAAGTTATTTTATTTTGACCATATAAGTGATTCGAACTTTCAAAAATAGAGGTATTATATACTTTCATTGTTCAAAGTTCAATAATACAAATATATGTACAAGTAATTTAAGATACTAATATCAAGATGTGTATTAACAAATATATTAGTCAAATTGTTGCAACTTTAAGAAATATCCAGAGTAGGAAATATAAACCATGTTTTTCTACATCTTATGCCCCAATTGTGAAAACAAATGACTTTATCATTTGTCATGTCATCATTATTTGTAATACTAGTTAAGTCTGTGTGTTGCCCTAATTGCTTGTAATGTATTTGTTTAACTAATGTTGTTTTCTTGTCACTAGTAAGAAATACAAAGTATTAACTCTAATTGAAAATTTTAAATCTATCCATGCAGAAAAAAATACTTTAGACATAAAATCTTGCTTCATTTACATTCCGTTCATTTTATAAAAATTACGTAGCATTGTCACCTAGGTGGAGGCATCTTTGAATTCCGCCCCCATCTAGGTGGAGGTGAGATTCCAGCAAGATGTTTAAAATAGCAAAAGTATAGAGAATGCTTTTAGGGTTTAATTTTTCTGTATATTACTTTGTAGAAGATTGATACATTTATACAGAAAAAACAGAGAAAAATAAGGAAACTATTATACAGGATATATACGCCTAACATAATTAGTCATATTCTGTTCCTATAATTAAGGAGCTAAATATGACTATTTCCTACACTCCCCCTCAAGTTGGGCACTCGGATTCCCAATGCCCAACTTGTGCAAAGTATTACTGAAGGCTTCAGTACTGACAGCTTTAGTTAGGATATCTGCCAATTGATCCTTTGATCGAACAAATGGAAGTTTGACGATCTTATCTTCTAACTTGTCTTTGATGAAGTGTCGATCAATCTCAACATGTTTTGTTTTGTCATGCTGAACAGGATTTCCAGAAATACTTATTGCTACCTTGTTGTCACAAAATAATTCACAGGCTGTTTTCTGAGGAAAACCGAGCTCATTTAACAGTTTTCTAATCCACAGGATTTCAGTTATCCCTTTCACAATTCCTCTGAACTCAGCTTCTGCACTTGACAAGGCTACTACCTTTTTCTTTTATCTTCTCCAAGTGACAAGATTCCCTCCTACCAAGGTGAAGTATCCAAAAGTGGATTTCCTCCCATCTCGGTCCCCGGCCCAATCTGCATCGGTGTAAGCAATTATATCGAGGCTATCATTTTTGCCAAAATAAATCCCGGTGCTGATTGTACCCTTTAGATACCTCGGGATCCTCATTACGGCTGTCATGTGATGTATTTGAGGGAGATGCATGAATCTACTCACTACCCCTACTGTATATGCGATATCTGGTCTTGTGTGGGCTAGATAGATGGGTTTTCCTACAATCTTCTGATATTGTTCCCTATTGGTTGCCTTTGCCCCTTCTACGATCTGAAGACCATGATTTGCTACAATTGGAGTGTCAGCCGGCTTACATCCTAACATTCCAGTTCAGCTAAAAGATCGAGAATATACTTTCGTTGATGAATAAAAATCCCTTGCTCAGATCTTAGGACTTCTATACCAAGAAAGTATCTCAAGTTTCCTAGGTCTTTCATCTCGAATTCTTGAAACAAATTCCCCTTTAAGGCAACAATTTCTTCCTCATCATCTCCGGTGATGATCATATCATCTACATATATGATTAGACAGGTGATTTTCTGTTTTGCCCTTTTTATGAATAAAGTGTGATCAGAATTACTCTGTCTGTATCCGAACTTCTTCATAGCCTTAGTAAACCTTCTAAACCAAGCTCTTGGGAAAATGTTTTAAACCATACAGGGCCTTCTTCAACTTGCATCCTTCTCCATCCTCAAAATCATGAGAATATCCTGGGGGGGCTTCCATATAGACTTCTTCTTCAATGCTTCCATGAAGAAAGGCATTTTTGACATCAAACTGATACAAGGGCCAATCTTTATTTGCTGCTGCAGAGAACAACACTCGTATCGTATCTATCTTGGCTACCGGGGAAAAAGTCTCTGAATAATCGATCCCATAAGTCTGAGTGTAACCCTTGGCCACCGATCTTTCTTTGTATCTTTCAATAGTTCCATCTGCTCGGTGCTTAATGGAGAATACCCATCTACATCCCACCTTCTTCTTTCCTTTGGGTAGGATACATTTTTCCCATGTCTGGTTCTTTTTCAAGGCAACATACTCATCTTCCATAGCTTGTCTCCACTTCTCATTTTCAAGAGCTTCTTCCACGGTTTTGGGAATGGTTGTTGAGTATAGGGAGGCGGTGAAGGCAACAGTTGTGTTAGACAAGTTTTCATTGTTGATCCTTTCTATGGGGTATTTAGACCGTTGGTCTTCATATTCCGGGTCATATCTTTTGGGAGGAACATCTCTCGTGCTTCTGGGAGGTAACTCATATCTGTTTAGACAATTATCACTAGGAATAGATACAGAGTCAGTAGGAACAGTACATGATTCATGGGTTTCAGAGTTTACCTCAACTGATATTGACTCAGGGTGCTTAGGGGTCGCCATTGGAGTGGATTGAAGAGAAGGAGCTGATACTGATGTTAAGTGTCAACATCGGTGGTATTTCCTACTTGTGTTGGAGGATCATGGTCCATCATTTCTGGATATAGTAACCAGCTAAGGTCATCATTCGTAGTCTCCCCCTGAGGACCAGGTTGGGTATAGTAATAGGAGTGTTCAAAAAACTCACAGTCAAGAGTGGTGTAGATTTTATTTTGAATGGGATCATAGCATCGGTACCCTTTTTTATTAACCCCATACCCAATAAAAACGCATTTAATGGCTCGCGGTTCGAGTTTATTTCTAACCCTTTTTGGAAGATGAACATAGACAACACATCCGAACACCCGAGGAGGTAGAGAATGATAGGATGGAATGGAAACATGGGAAGAAAGAGTATCAAGAGGAGTTTGGTAGGCAAGAGGTTTGGTAGGTGGTCGGTTGGTTAAATATATGGCTGTGGCAATAACTTCTGGCCAAAAATGGACAGGAACATGGGATTCTAACATAATGGCTCTAGTAATTTCAAGAAGAGTTTAGTTTTTCCGTTCAGCTACCCCGTTTTGTTGGGGAGTATCCCAGCAGGTAGTCTGGTGAATAAGGCCATGATCAGAAGTAAACTGTTTCATATCCAGGGTTATGTATTTTCCCCCGTTATTAGATCGGAGAATTTGGGGTTGGGCATCAAATTGAGTACAGATCATGTTGTAGAAATTTATAAACACATCATACACTTCAGATTTATTTTTTAGAAAATAAACCCAACTCATACGGGTGCAATCATCCACAAACAAAACAAAATAAGAATAGTTATGAAAGGCAAATTCAGGTGCAGGACCCTAGACATCAGAATGAATTAAAGTAAACGGTCTAGCAGCATGAGTCAAACTAGGAGAATAAGAGTGTTTATGGCTTTTTGCAAGTACACATGCTTCACAATCCAAAATAAAATCAATGTCCTTAAAAGAGGGAAATAATCGTTTAAGATAACTAAAGATGGATGACCTAGCCGTCGGTGCCACATCCAGATCTGATATTCCGGTGACCCATGAGCAAGCAAAGCGTTACCCTGTTGAGTCGCCTCATCCACATAGTATAGGCCTCCTCGTTCAATACCACGACCAATGATCCGCCCCGTCTGAGCATCCTGTACAATACAATCAGAAGAAGTCATTAGAGTTGTACAGTTTAGTTCCTTGGTTAATTGACTAACAGATAAGAGTTTGTGAGTAAGACTCGGAATTAAAAGACAATTTTTTAAATGAATTTCTGATGTAATATCTACATCTCCGGCCTGAGTAATTGGAATAAATTCCCCATTTGCAGTCTGAATCTTAGTACGGGTAGTGGATTTGGAGGAATGAAATTCGGATGGGTCGTAGGACATAGTGTCTGTGGACCACAGTCAAAAACCCAAGTGGATTTATTGCACATGAGGCCCAAACCGTGAGTTGTATGAAGGGAAGAAGTGTATTGATCTTTAGTGGGCTGGGCTTCTGATTTACAAAGGGAAATATGAGAAGCTTTAGTGGGCTAGGCGTCTGGTT